CTGAAACTAAACTCCTGAACTGTTCTGTGACATTCGTCTGCAATTGCTTGATTGAAATAATACAAACAAAATTACAGAAAGGCAAGGAAGTTACACTGTAGCCAATGTTCAACGTTTAACGTCAGGAATATCAGAAATATTTGTGTTAAGTTCCAGAAAATTAAGAATAATTTAAAAATCAACTTATTTGAACCACTTTTTTTTTTTGTTGTTAAATTTAGCTAGCAAAACTGTTTTTTTTTGCATTTGTGCTCTTATATGAGCAGTTTTGGACTGAACATCAGAAACAGGGATGCAATTGATCGTGACATTTCCAGACATGTGATTTCTGTGTCCCGATCAATAACTTCTCTATTTGCACAACAGTCAACCTATCTTGTCTCTAAGTCACACAAATCCATTGTATGCTGCCATTTTTAAGCTTTAGTTGCAGAGTTAGAAAGAAGAAAGGGTTGGAAAAACCGAACGCTGTCGGCTGTAAGCTGGACGATGATTCAACCAAAACTTTAAAAGAAAATGTAGAAAAAAGCCTCAGTGAGAGGACAAAAGCTCGGGCAGCGCTTGTTATTGTCAGAAAAACCCAAAAGCAAAGCAGCCACAAAAACCAAACTTACGTCAACGCGGCGTCTTTGACAGACACGTCGAGTTCTTTGAGTTATTTTTACACCCTCCTAATGGCCGGGGAGGTGGTTAACGAGCCCCGAGGAGTGTGTGTTGGGGCCTCGTTAGAGTTGTCAGGCAGACACAGCGCCATGGAGATGTGGATCACAGCTCAGGCAGGTCAAGGTGAGACTGATTCAGCTAATGCATCTCCATCACGGCGCACTGGGGAAAATAAGGTTTTCCCCAGTCTGTTGCTGTAGTCCTGACTGACAGCCATGCACGGAGCCGGAGAGTGAGGGATCCTATTTAGGGCTCTGTGTGAGAAACGCAGGCCTCAGCTGCTGGCGGCGTGAAATAGATGCCTTTGGACTGGATGGTTTACCGTGAGACGGATGCTCAGGGCTCCGTCTCTCCCCGGCTGCGGGTAACCTGACAGCAGGCTGTCTCACAGAGGGCGCGCCTCCACCTGTGACGTGACATGAAAAACCTGTGGTCTGAGTAGGTGCCGGTACCCGATACAAGGGTTTGGAGGTGTGTTTCAGAGCTCTACTGACACTCTTAAAAGTCCTCCGACTCGTCTGGCAAACTGATGTAAGAAGCCCATTAGTGTCAACAGCCCGCTGAGCTTAACCTGCCGAACATGGGTTCCCCTCATCTGAGTGAGGAAGCACTTCCAAGGCCCGGAGCAGGATTACATCACCCAGCCTGCTCCCCGAAGTAGCTCTGCTCCTTATTTTTGGTTTCAGATTTGCAGGCAAAGCATGGAATTAAATGCAACACTGCACTGGGACTGTGAGACATAAAAAGATACAAGTATCTCGCATTTAATTAGGCAGCACCAGAAGCATTTTATTTCCAAATAAGGCTGTGACTCGAAGATAAAATGCTGCTGTATATTTTCTGTTCAGGATGCGGCTGAACAGATCTCCGCCCAGCCTAAAGAGGGTGTAGCACCACGGGCGCCTCTTAAAAACTGATTCTAAGCCATTCATTCAAACTGAGATTTACGTCAAAGCGTTACTTCATTACCTCTATACCCCAGTTCAAGCCTGACCTGAGGTCTTTTTCAAGTTTCCTGCCTGCTTTTGAGAAATCTCCATCTCAAAAGCGACTGAATCTCAACCCCAAAGGAACTGGATTCTATTAAGAACTTTCCCTTTGTTTTCATCCAGGAAATTCTGCCAGCTGTCAGCTGATAAGGTGCAAAACAAAGAACAACATACACATTTAGGAAATACAAAATCACGACTTTTCATTCAGCATTTTATCAAACCTTGAAGTCCTTCATTTATATATTAACGCAGAAAAGTTAGGAGATTTAAAGAAGCGCTAAACACATTAAAGATTAATTATTTTAATCCGGGTCATCTTCACTATTAAATTTTAAGCATTTATTCACTCAAATAAAAATCTATGTTTCCTTTACAGAGTAATCTATTTATGTTGAATCACAAATCACTACGTGCAAAATCATCCATATTCTGGATTGATTTTATGCCTAGCAGTATAATAAGCAGGAGTGCTGATTTAAGATAGAGTGAGTCAAAAGTAACTGGACACTGTTTAATTTCAGAAACTAAAGAGTAAATGACAGATCTGAATATTCCAGCAAGTAATGGGTGAGGGGGCCTGTCTTTCAGGCTATGTTCATAAATTATCAACACAGAAACCTGCAGCAACAACTGGGAACGTTGCCTCTTGTTGCTGCAGCTTTTTGTGTTGATAACTTTTGGAGATGGCAGCCAGACAGAGCAGTTAGGTACACAGTTCCATCTGCAGATCCCACCTCCTCGCCCAGAGGTCACTTGATAGGCTGCAGGTCTCAGCCTGTGTAAGAGAGCGAGGTCGTAGATTTATTGATTAGATCCCGCCATCTTTTAATGTCTCCTCCTTCCCATTGGAGGAGCTGCTTCTGTTAATTCGGGTGAGTCATCGGAGGACAAACCTGCGTGCCACTTCAGACAAGGACCCATTATGGTGCCTCTTATTTCAAGGGTCTCAAACTCAGGTCCTCTCTGGGCTGCCTTTCTGCAGATTTTACACATTTTACTGGTTCAACACAGCTGATTCATATCAATGCATCATTGCCTTTGTGGAGCTCAACAATATTTGAATGCATCTTTTTAAAAAGAAATAGGTGTGTGAAGTAGGAAAACGTCTAAAATCTCCTGGAAAGATCAGGATCTGCTTAATCGTTGTTTTCCCTTCTTCTGCTTCTCTTCTTCTGCTTCAGTGAAGTGCTGTTAAAAGTCTTAAATCAGAGCTATAATACTTAAAGCACAGAAAAATAAGCAGAATGCTTTGATTTTAAGTGAAATTATGACGTCATTTAGGCGCAAAGGGCATGAAATATGAGCTTTGAATGACTCATTGTTCAAGCACAAATCTATTCACATAAAGAGAAAGACACACACACACACATTAAAGACGTGCTATTCATATGCACCACAGCTGGCTGCTGGAACATGAAGGAGACAGGAGATAATCAGACACTCCGCACCCCACAGCTCAGTCTGACACTGGAGAGAGACGTGCAAATCATTTCAGATTTACTAGCTGCAGGCTCCACCTGCTGGTGGAGACCTGAATCTCTATGTTCGGATTTATTCTGTCCTTCACACAGCATTTAGTTCACTCAGTGTTAAATCTATGAGATTTTCCAAGTTTAGTCTTTTATTATTTGATAAAATCAAACAAGTTTGTCATCGCTTGGGTTTATTCAAGGCTGTACAGCTTCCTCAACTCGAAATTTAGGTATGAAAATGGTCCAGATTTTATGGAGTAATCAAACACTTCCATTGAAGATTAGGGTTAGCTTTAACGTCCTTTGTTTTATTGCCAGGTTGGTTTACTTACACGCTGTGATCCAGAGGTCATCTTCACATGGGGTCCCTTCTCTGCTTGGTGGAGCTTTGAATGCAGACATTGTTTGCAGACATTGATTTTTGTGTGACCTCATGAGCGCATGCAGTGTTTCCTGGACAGAATCAGGTCTGTTTCTAATGCATAAAGCTGCCTAAGGACCTGAAGATCCAGACTTTTCCTGTCCCTACTATTTCCCAACTAATCGAGAGTTTTGCTTTTCAAATGATCCCTTCTATAGGCTAAATGATATTGAAATATTTTTACCAGTTGTAGTAGTAGAACCCCCCCTACTGTATCTGGTTGGTAATTATTAGACATGTCTTTCTTCAACAAATAGGGGGAAAAGGAACATTCATAACAAATTTATATCAATAAACATTGTGGATTAACAATTTATTATATTCGAAATCAAATCAAATGTATTTCTGTCAGGACATTTTTTTTGTTTTTTTTGCAGATTAATCTTTTTAAATTCTCTCATTTGCCATTCTTTCCAAATATCCCGGTTCTTGAACCTGATTGGCTAGAGATGTATTTCCAGCTGGCATTGCTGCTCTGTGATTGGCTCAAAGCGTGAGGGCTTATAGTTGCTTCAAGTTACCGTCTTATAGGTGGGCAGAAACCGGAAGTAGACCAATAAAGTCAACAAAATGCAACTACTCTGCACAAACTCAGTTATATTTGTTAGATGTACACATCATAATTAACTATGAGTGGAACATTTTCTCTTCTAAATGAGGTTTCATTCTACCACTATAAATCTCTCAGGCCCATCAGCTTGAAAAAAGAGGACTGATGATTGATTTGACTTTTTTAAATGTACTTTGATTACTGATAGTAATTAGCTCAGAGTTAGAATAAATTAAACTCCTTGCCATGCTGATCTCACCTCAGTCCCAAATAGCTGTATTTCTATTTCTTTTATGTGAATGTATTAGTGGAAAACTGGAAGTTGCCTTCGTTTCATTTGTGACCTTTGCTGACTGATGTCATATACAGTAAAATAACAGACAGCTGACTAATTGTTGGGTTCACAAGCAAATGAAGAGATTTAAGAAAATACTTTAAAACAGATTGAATACACATGAATATGCTTTGGGAGTTTCATCCAGATTGCGATGAATGTTGAATTTTTAAAAAGTAATTTTCTATATTAAGCTGCTGGACTTCCTCAGTCTTCACTGTTTGTTTTTTTTTGTATTTACCTCTGAAACCACTTTTTAACGGACTTGAATTTGAACATTAAGTGTGTATTTAATTCTGATGTTTTTCTGAACTCATATGCATTATTTTCTTGAAATTGCATGATTGATGCACACGAAAGTGTGTCAGGACTGGACTTTCATTTTCACCTGTATTGCCATCCATTTTCGCCTGTCTTTGGGAAGACAAAGGAGGGAAAGCTGGCTAAGTAAACCACCAAAGTCAGAGGCTTTTCCTTTGAAAAGTAACCGGAAGTGGGGCGTTTGGTGGCTGCTTTGTGGGTGACGGACGGAGCTGTGGAGCGTTTGAAAACCAAGCCATCGGAGCAGGGAGTGAGGGGCTTCCATCTCTGCGGAGCGACGGAGACATGGCGGGCTGTGAAGGCGACGTGATGCGTTCGAGGACCGATCCATCGTCTTCAGCGGCTCCCGCGTGCGAGGAGGAGAAGCCGAGGAAGAGGAGGAGAGCCTTCTGCCTGGGCAGGATGAGGTCCGGCTCGCAGCAGCAGCAGGCAGCCGCCGCCAACAACAACAACAACACGCCGTTCATCATCCACTGCCAGATCGGGAAAGAGATCAAACACATCTGCAGCAACTGCCGGGGAGCAGAGCCTCTGGACGGTGAGGGAGCCCGGCTGTCTGCAGCACAAAGAGAAGAGCACCCACCTCCTGCTTTTTTTGGGTCATTACTGAAGGAGGGGTCAGCCCCGGGTCTGTCCAGTTATTAGGCGAGGCTTTGGTCTTAGTTTTCCTGTCCTCTGACTCTCTTGTTAATTGGAATTCATGCTGAAACTGTTTGGATGTCCATGCTCGGTTTTGCTTCCCTCTTTGTGTTTTGGTTCCCTGATCCTCTCCTGAAAGCTGAGGATGTGGATCCCCCATCCAAACCAGGGCTTTAACCAAACCTTATTTAGGGCTCCACCTCCCTCTGTTTTCTCACAGTCAAATGGATGTTTGATGGATTGATGTTAGGAGGAATATATTTTTAAATGTCCTGCTTTTGAGCTTCCATATCTGAGAGGTGTGGGCTGTCTCTGTTGAGTGATGGGTTGATCTCCAGCAGGTTATCCATCGTGCTGCTGATTGCCGGCCAGTGTATTGATCTGTTGCTTCAATCATAAAAATCCATCGCTCACCGTAGACGTTGTTCATAAATCAGCGTGCTGTGTGATGTCGGAAGGATCGGATCATTTGATTGGGCTGTCAGTCAGGGCTTTGTTACATTTTCATTTCCTCAGATGGTAGAAATGTTAGAGGTACAGCAACCGTCTGAATCCCCTTTCCTTTCTTTGAGATTTAATTGAAAACGGTGAACTACTGCAGAAATGTACAGTATGAGCAAACCTAAATAACTACAGTAAATAAGATAGATATGCCAAGTTTTCAGCTGATAGCTCCTTGGGAATCAGCTTGATGCTGCCTTCAGAAGTGCTGTTTCTTTACTAAATTGTCCTCTCTGGGTGGACACAACACTGGCTCATCCCTTGAATTAGGGATTTTTTTTCTACCTGAAGGATTCTCTGTGGCTTAACAAAGAAAAACAATGTGACCAAAGCAGTTAATATCCAAAGAATACTTTGTAAGACCTTTAGATTAAGTAATAGGTTGAATCTTTAGGTTGCATTGATGAGAACTGGAGGTATTTGCAAGCTGTCTGTAAACCTGATGTCCATCAGATTGATGCGTTTTAATTATTTACCCTTGGTTTGGAGCTACAAATACATCCAAACAAATCATTTGACGGACCCAGAAGAGGTGTCGCTCCTGTTTGGCAGATGCGAGCAGTTTTTGAGCTGGTTGTTGAGTGTGGTAACAGACCCCGGGTCAGAGTGGAAAAATGTGGCCCTGCAGTGTGAGTCTGAACCCTCTGATTCATCTCCCTCCTGGGCAGGGTGGGAAACGGACACTTTAAACCTGTTAGCAGAGACAAAAGACGAGCCAGGAAGTTCATTCAAGGGGAAATCTGCCTGGGTGGAACACCTGGGAGGCTAGTTCTGGCGATGCGGTCCAGGAAAGAACGGGGCTGTTGCCGAGGGGAAGGTCCGCTCACACCACAGTGGGGAGGGGGGGTCAGACGCTGTTGAAGGGCCTCTGGACGGTGGCTGCTGCAGATCTGAGCTGACATCCTCCACACAGCCAGCCAGGCCACCTGAAGGCCCACGCCTCCCCTCGTCTGCAGCTGCTCCCCGGTCCGCACTGGGTTTGTTTTTCCCCGCTTCTGCCGGCTTTATTTTTGGATCAGCTCTCTGCAGCAGCTGTTGGTCCTGTTTGGAGAAAAAGAAAAATATGCACACTGTCGGAAGCTGGAAACCATCGAGGAGGGAATAGGTTTTTTCTTTTTTTTTTCATATAAGCACAGATCTAAACAACCGTTTGGTGCGTGTCTGCTTCAGAATCATGTTGATTCCTGATGGAAAAACACATTTCTGTCTGATTAAGGCTCGGGTAGTCAGCAGGATGTCAGTGTTCATTTGTCAGCTCTACATTTTTTCTTTTTTTAAAGACGAAAACACCCTCATTACGAACTCCATTCATGTTAACCACAAACCAAGAGCATTGTGTAGAAGTCAGCCTGAAGAGAGACTGAAAACACCATCGGAAACCATTAATTCAGCTTCCTGCTGATTGAGGAGCTTCTCCCAGCTGCTGGATCCTGCTCATAGGCTGAATATTCGGCTCATTTTACACCTTGTTAGAAATGGCTGGAAAAACACAGTTTTGAATCTTTTTTTGGATTTGAAATCAATCATGAAGCATGAAAAAGATAAATGTTCTGTAAACACAATCCTCTCAGGTCATTTTCTTGCATTGTCATGATTTAGGGTGATACATCACCTTAAGAAAACAAAACAATTATTTCAGAGTTCGCTCAGAAATAGCCGGCTGCTTTCTGATCCATCTCCACTGGCTCCAGCGGTGGGTGTGGGACGGGGACCGTGTCGTTTCTGATTGTGTTTAGCTGCCCTCATTCAGCCAAATCCTAATGATTCTGCCATTCTCCCTTATTGTAACGTAATGTCTCTGCTGGCGGAGCCACCTGACACGTTAACTGTGATTAAGAGCGATCCAGATGAGCTTTACTCGGCTTGATTATCCACAGCCTTCAGGCAGAGAACGTCCCCCGACATTTGAAGCTGAGACAAGTCATCATCTGGTTTCCAAGACGATTACAAAAAGCCATTAGCAACTAAAGAGAATGTCTTCTCCATATTATTTACAGAGAAAACAGAAAGCAACATGCAGAGAAGAGAGATCCTGGAGAAAAAGAGAAAAACATGATAAGGAGGGGGTGGAAAACACACCAGACTATGAGTGAGATTTTAAAGTTAACACGTCTTCCTGCTGAATGTGGAGATAATAGAATAGCTTGTCTTTGTTTGAGCAGGCGAGGGCCATGAGCACGTTGCTTACTTTGATTTGAGCTCAGACAAGTTAACATCTGAAGTTTTACAGTTCCTTTGAAACCTTTTTGGTATTTTTCTGTTCCAACACGTTGCAGCGGGGGCCTAAATTTGCATGGATTGTCGATCGCTCCAACATGGACAAGAGAGCTTTGTGGACTGCCTTTGTTTTTGTTAAGGGAAGCAGTCAAGCACACAGCAGTAGAATCCCTGAATTTCCCAGTCTTTGATCTGTTTAAATCTTTCTGCACTCAGATTTAACTTTCTCTTACGGAGCTGTAGCTGCGCTGCATAATTTCTCAGAAATAAGGAAGATCAGATCTTTGCCAGGTGGCATTAAGATGAGAAATTCTAAGCTCATACACGGGGGAGGGGCCTTGCATGAAAAATCCTATTTTTTCTGAGTTTAGACCTTTTTAACAAGAGTTATTTTTGACTGAAAATGGGACTTGAGGATGACTGACTGATTTGCCTCATTTGAAATATAGAACTTGTAAACTGAATAACAAAAAAAATCTTGCCTCAGCTTATCTTATAACCATATTAGTGATTTGTTCTGTATGTCTTATATTTTTTTTTCATCTGAAATGTAATCTTCCCAGCATCAGACACATGTTTTCTTTGTTTGCACTGCATTTATTTAAGTTTCTGAGCCTTTTCTGAAGCTTCCCCTCCTCCTTTTCAGGTTAAAGTCCAGGTGTTAGATGTCAAAGCAGCTCTGGAGCAGATGAAGCTGCACGAGGCGTCATGGGGTGTTATTTCTTGTTCTAACCTTGTTTCCGTTGTGCCTTCCAGCTGAGGAAGTGGAGCGTCTGGCGGCGATGCGCTCCGATTCGCTGGTACCGGGCACACACACGCCCCCCATCCGCCGGCGGAGCAAATTCGCCAATCTGGGACGTCTGTTCAAGCCCTGGAAATGGAGGAAGAAGAAGAGCGAAAAGTTCAAGCAGACCTCTGCCGGTGAGAGCTGAAACACTCCCATTAGCCCCCTTTCGCTGAAGCTTCTCCCCCTCTGTGTTGCAGCTGCTGGGGTCTCTGACGGCACCTGAACATCTCACTCTTTCAGGGAGCAGAACAGGCTTTAGTTAAAGGGGTCTCAGAGGGCCTGAGCTGGGCCGCCAGCTGTGCTAGTTAAAGTAAATGTCAGAGACCAATTGACAGCACAAACACCCCAAATAAGGAGAGGTAAAGCCAGAAGTGATGGAGTCTATTCCCAGCTGACCTGATGCAGACGTATTTGACATATTTTGATACAAAAATGTAATCTTGGACTAATAAGAGGTAGAAACCAGATGCTGCTCAAAACTATGAAAAACTGATCATAGCTGGCTCTTTAAGGAAAGGGGAGTTTTTTTTTAAATGTTTCTGAGTTACAGGGGAATAAATGTAGCTAGAAATAAAATCTGATAAAACTGTGGAGGAAAGGTGTGATTCTCAGAGATGCTGTGAAACAATCCAGAATAGTTTCTAAGCTTTGACTTAAAGCTCCCGGCTAAGGCCGTATCGTCTGAATGACTATTCGTCTGAGGACATGTCTGTTCCATATGTCCGGCTCGGAGCTGTGAAACAGAAGTGTTGGATTTGCAGGCAGACACGGCCTCTGTTGCTGCCTCTCAGCTGGACGAATCGCTGGGTTTCCTGTTCTCACAGAGAGACGCCAGAAAACAGCCGAGGCAAGCTGTTCTCCCAGCTGGTGCAGCATTTCGCATTATTTTTCTCTGTCCCTGCTTCCAAAGAAGCGTTCGGCGTGCATGCACACACAGGCTGCTGCACGTTGTGTCCACAGTGTGCTTCATCCACAGTCCTTCCATCATACGGCTGAGCTGCCTTGAATCTGTACAGCATTCGTGGCTCATTTATGTTCAGTACAGAAAGAAATTATGGAGAAGAGAGGGTCAAATTTGCTTATGGGGTTTTTATTTTTCGAGCCTGTAAAAACTATACCAACGAGAAGTCAGATCTGTCTATAAAAGACAAACAAAAAATATATTTTTAAAAAGAAATGTCCCCTCGGAAAATAATTTATTTTCATCTTTGCTTGCGTCTCAATTCTAAAATTCATATAATTTAGCCCAGAGGATGTGAAAAAATGGAGTAACTACAGAATAACTACCAGAATAAGCTGTGAACCTTTGAGGCCTGACGGGGGCCTTTAAATGAACACCAATTAGCAGCTGGACGGATGTTTTCTGACCGCATGCTTTGTGCTTTCCTGCAGTTTTGGAGAGGAAAATGTCCACCCGGCAGAGCAGAGAGGAGCTCATCAAGAAAGGACTCCTGAAGGAGGTCTATGAGAAAGGTGATGGTCCCCACCACAGAGGGATAAAGAGTTAAAGAAACAAATGTTTCTTATATTTACTACATTTTTTAATTGAGTATGATAGAATCTCTTCATTGTCTCTGTTATGAGCACAATGAAGATCAGTTTGGCTCTTCTTGGTAGCATCAGGGTCAATTAAAAGTAGAAAATGAGAAGTACAAACTGTGAAGTAGAGTAAAGAATCGACAATTAAACTGAATTAAAGTACAGTGAGTACAGTGATTTTGGGCTGTTACTTAATAAAACTGGCTTGATTCTGGCCTGATGATCCCCTCAGCTGAAAAAAAGCAGCAAACACAGATTTAACATGGCGGTCAAGCATCAACCAGGTGTTTTTCCACCTCTTCATTCTGTCTCCTCTGCCTTAACTTTCCCCCTGTGTGCAGACGGCTCGTCTCCGGCCCTCCGGGAGGAGGTGAAGATGGAGAACGGGCGCTCCCCGGCGCTGGGCTGCAGCCTCTCAGAGTCTGAGGGCTCTGAGCTGATGGAGGGAGCGGCGGCAGCTGTGGGTAGGCGTCGCTCCCTCCTCACCTCTGACCCATTCTTGGCCTCTCACAGCCCATTTTTGATAAATATATATATTTTTTTCTCTCTAAGAGTTTCCAATGATGAGTGATGAAGCATGCCAACAAGACCACGCCCAGAAACCAAGCCAGGCCCCGCCCACAAAGACGGCGTTGCTGTTTCCAGCTGAGAGCCCCGAATCCTCCCTCTCCAGACCTCCCACGCTACACAAGCAGCCTCCCGCTCTGCCGCCCAAACCTTTCGGCAGGCTGCCCAACCACATCGCAGGTACGCCGCTCTCTGGGCCACACGTGCGCGCCCACGCCGCCGCGCCCCTCTGAGTCTCCCTCCCCCCCCTCTCCCGCAGACGGCGCCCCCGTGAAGCTGCCCTGCATGTCGGTGAAGCTGTCTCCTCCTCTACCTCCAAAGAAGCTCCTGATCTCGGTCCCCGCGGGGAGCATGGAGCCCTCCGCCGTCACCTTCCAGAAGTGCCCCGCCCCCCCGGGCCACACTCCCATTGGAGGACACTCGCTGGCGTACGGGACGCTGCCCGTCCCCCTGCACCCGCCCAGCCGCATCATAGAGGAGCTCAACAAGACCCTGGCCCTCACCATGCAGAGGTTTGAGAGGTGAGGAACCTCCAGGGATGAGGCCTGATTAGATAGAAATAATCACCTTTTCACTATTTAGGCTTTTTATCACAATTACTCGTAATTCTGGATGATCTCAGTAGTTCGGTTCAGTCATACCGCATCAGTCCCAGACTGGGAACTCTCCCTCAGTGACTACATGGACTGCAGATAAACATCAGGGCTGCAGCTGTTCTCCAGGCTTCAGCATCTGTTGCTAAGCAGCTCTGTGGTCCTCCTCCTTTCCGGTCCCGCTCTGTCTGCAGGCTCTGTCTGATCTGAGTCTGAAAGCTGACAGAGAGCTGTCAGAGCTGCTCCTGCTGCCACGTCTCTGCCTCATATTCCTGCAGTTCTCATCAGGGCTCAGATCAGACACTGAGCTCACATTTCCCATAATGCACAGGGGAAGAAATGGTTTAAGCTGCGTCCTAAATATCTCTACTTTAACTCTTGACACGGGGACCCTTTTCCAGGCATTTCTTCAGCTTTTGAAAGCTAACTTATCTTCTAAATCAGGTTGACAGCTTTACCAGCAGCAAAGCAACCAAAGCAGCTCAGAAATATCTTCTCAAAACAGTGCATCCAAAGCTGCTCTCTATTTAATCTTTAGAAGGAAAAATTAAGTAGAAAGAGTGATAATCACTAAGAAAGTTGAGATTGAACAATAAGCTTACTACTGATAACCATGCATTTGCCTTTGAGTTGTGTTTGAATGTTGACACCAGAAGCTGGAGATCCTTCATCTTCACTCTTCAAATCAACAATGAGCTCCTCTCTTCTTTTTGGTGTTTGGAGTCAGGTTTTCCATTTTGACTTCTTGTCTCGCGTTGTTTTCAGGGCTGGAACCGTCTGCGCTGGGATTCGCTCGTTCGTGTCTGACCTTTGCCCTTTCCCACCAACCTGCAGCTCCATGATGCACGCCGTTCCCACGGCGATGATCGAGTGTGACGACAACAAGGAGAACCTCCCGGGGCAGGTGGAGTACGAGAGCCTGCTGGGGATGTACAAGCACGAAGAAGAGGAAGAAGAAGAGGAGGAGGAGGAGGAAGAGGAGGAGGACATAGAGGAGGAGTATGAAGATGAAGAGGAAGATGAGGAGGAGGAAGAGGATGATGAGGAAGAAGACGATGATGATACTCTGTTTACAAGTAAGCCTCTTTCTGTTCCTCTGATTTGCTCGGCCAGCCAGTTCAGATTTCGGAGACTTCTGCTTTCAGTACGTGCACCGAGGATGTGTGCGTGCACGTGAACATCACGTATCGCTCTGAGATGCGGGTTTTTAATAAAGGAAGAAGTTGTTTATAGCACCTCTATTCAGTTTATTCATGAAAAGCTCATAAATTATGTGGGAAGCCCTGGAGACGGAGACCTCAAACTCGGGTCCTCTTTGGGCCGCCGGCTTGCAAGTTTGAAACGTTTCCCTGCTTCAACACGCCTGATTCTGACTGAATGCATCTCCTGAAAAAAAAAAAGAAATTGCTGCATTTTGTGCACTGATTTGAATCAGGTTTTTTTAAATGGAAAACATCTAAACCTGCCGGACAGTGATCTAAAAAGGACCGGAGAGCAGAGCCTCGCACAAGACAAACAAAAGGAAAAAAGGGTCGAAAATCTCATTTAATTTGCTAGATTAAGTTTAAAAAAAACTAAAAAAACATGCACTTTGACTTTTTAGCCAGCGTGGTTGAAACCTAAGAAAAACAGCAAAGTATCACAGAGGGAACTTGAGGGAAATGTCTTAACTCCTGTTGGTTGACGGTATGAAGCATGCGTCTGTGTTTTTCCTTGAAGGCACGCTGGCCATGAAGGTTTTACGAAAAGACTCGCTGGCCCTCAAACTGAGCAACCGTCCATCCAAGAGGGAGCTGGAGGAGAAGAACATCCTGCCGATGCAGACGGACAAGGAGCGGCTGGAATCCCGACAGCAAACGGCCACCAAACTGACCAGGTGAGTCACACCCGGTCCCCTGAAAAGACCTAAAGACCATCAGGTGTCCTAATGGAGGGAATCCCTGTATTGAATCCACGTTTTGCAAAAATTACCTGTTACTGAATTAAATAAGAGGAGCTCACTCATACCAAAGCCTTAAACTGAACTGACCCATCTATGGTCTTTTTTTTTTCTATGGTTCTATCTATGGTTCTCTGTTTTGAAGAAACCCCACAGAAAAGGTGTCCCTCTCAATGATTTGGCTTTTTTGCCTCACTCCTCCTCTCCTCGCCACCCCAGCATTGCATAACGGCTGATTCAGAGCCTCCAGCCTCTAAATTCACAGCATGCATCATTATAACAAATGACATTACGTGCACAGTCAGCGGGTCTCTTCTGGGAGATTTGAAGGAGGATGCGCTGAAGACATTCTGAAGGCTTGCATACAAAGGCTGAATTTCTACAGAAATAGAGTTAATTCCCCCTCTTTTCAGGCGGCTGAGTCAGAGGCCGACAGCAGAGGAGCTGGAGCAGAGAAACATATTGAAACGTAGGTCACTTTTCACACCGCTGGAGGCACACAAAAAAAGGCACAAATTAATCACTGTGGGTGTTCCCTCCAGCTCGAAACGATCAAGAGGAGCAGGAGGAGAAGAGGGAGATAAAGAGACACTTATCAAGAAAGGTAAGACGGAGCAGAAGCTGAAGCTCTTCCATCCTGTGTGTGTGTGTGTGTGTGTGTGTGTGTGTGCAGGCTGCAACCACTGATGGAAAAATCCCCACCGTTACCCTGGAGACTGAAGCGCCTCCTTTCATATTCCAGCATTTCCAGAGGGGGGATGATAGAATTATGGGTGTGTTATTTTGAAGAGGGCAAAGGGAGCAGGGATGCAGGTCCCGACAGGTTGAAATGACAACAGGAAGAAATGGCTTCAAGCCCTTTTTCTGTACTAATAAACTTTATTTTTACATTGAATGTGAAATAATATTTCAATACAACTTTTTGATCATTTTTCAGCCTTGTATTTTCAGATATGCAAGAGAGAATAGATTATATAATAAATAATTCTCTATTCTAGTCAAAAGTTTGAAATAACATGTACCTTTCTTATTTTATTGTAAAAACAAAACAAACAAAATGACTATGAGTTTCTCATAGTTTATAGATAAAATATTCATATTTTTAGCTTTTGTTACTGACATTTTAAGCTCTCTATATCTTGGTTACTTTTCCAGCCTAACACAAAGAAATGAGGGGGGACATTTGCACATGGTGCATAACACAAGTTACCTTTTTTTTTTCCATTTCTCACAACACACTGATGATGCATTTTATGATGCAGGTCCCAGTGGAGTCACTGAAATGAAGAACTCAGAGTGTCAGGTGTTTTGTCCACGCAGAGCCCCGATGACGCTGCTCTTATTCCCCCCTCAGCTCAGCCAGAGGCCCACAGTCGAGGAGCTGCGGGAGGCCAAGATCCTCATCCGCTTCAGCGACTATGTGGAGGTGGCCGAGGCTCAGGACTACGACCGCCGGGCGGACAAGCCGTGGACCCGGCTAACTGCTGCAGACAAGGTCCCAGCACACCCTGAAAACAGTTCAATTTGGGTCCAAACGGCCTGCGAAAAAAAAAACACTGAATCTAACACTGCGTTTGTTTTTTGCTGGCAGGCTGCCATTAGAAAGGAGCTGAACGAGTTTAAAAGCACAGAGATGGAGGTGCACGAGTCCAGCCGCCACCTCACCAGGTACGTGACACCGGTCAGATAAACCTGAAGCTGCTCTCCTCCGGGCGGGGCCGTAAAGAAATTGCCGCTGGGCCCGTCCTCTCTTCGATGGCAACTTTTTAATCGATTTAATCTCAACTTCCCGGCGCCGGGCGCCCCTCAGCTCATTAAGGCCCTGACTGTGAGCAGCCGAGTGTGAAACCCTCCAATCGAGCTCCACAGAGAGGAGCTGCAGAGGTGTCAGCATGCCGACGGCAAAAGGGCTGAAGTCCCCCTCTGGTGTGCGCTTTAGTGTTAACTCTGAGCTCTATGTGCGACTTTATCACTGCAACTCATGATAAACAAAAAGGAGGTGTGGCCCAGCTCATTGAGCCTGTTTGAAAGGGAAGGAACTAGCATTTTTTTGGTTTATTTTCCTCAGAAATGGCACCAGTTTAGTGGCTCTGGATTAAAATCTTCATTTCACTGTGAGCATTCTGATTTCTAAACTTTTCGTAAGGATCTCAGCTGAATGAGCAGGAACGGACTAAAAGGAGGAGGTTGAAACATTTCATCCCATTGTCATAATGAGAAATGTGAGATTACTGGTAGATTAAATAGATATGAAAACGAAAAAGGTAATGACATTTTTTGTTGAGGGAACAGACTTTAGACCTGTTGAGTTTATGCTCATTAAAACTTTTACATATTTCAATTTTATTGAGTTGCTGTTCGATAGCAAAACTATTTCAGAACAATTTCAGAGATCTTGTGGGTTTGTTTGATGGTTAAAGTGTTTTAAAGTGGATTGAAAAGTTAAACTTATCATCAATTATCTCCTCTACCAAGTTTCCCTGCCCTTTTTAGGCTCTTAAAGGAATCATAATCTTCTATAAATAGGTGTGGTTCCTCTCCCTTGCTGAGAGGAACTGCCGTCTGTGCTGCAGGTTTTAGATGTTTCCTGCCTAAATACGTCTGACTGGGAATAACTTACCCTTTCGAAAGAGATTTATTCAAATCAAAATTGGAATGCCTAGTTTTACCTGAGTTCAGCCACTTTCTTTCTCCCTGCAGGTTTCACCGACCATAAACCAGCTCAGCTGAAGCTCTGCCACGTTTCTATGCTTCAACGTTCAGCCTGCTGACCAGCGCCGACCTAAAGCTGACCGTTTGAGCTGGACTTTGGAGTTTGAGCCATCACAGGAGAAGGATTGAACTCTGGACTGTTGTCTCCCATCAGAGGGAATTTTAAAGACTTCTTGATATTCAAAAGCTTATAATTGTCTTTTTTTATTTTGATTACAAAGAGGTGGTGCACTTCTGTTTTTGAACTGGAGGTCAAACACACAATCTGCACCATGGGAATGGTTGGACATTGCAGCGGGTATTTAATTTATTTTCATGGTTGTGTTCTGGCCTTCATTCTCCTTTCAACAGGACGTTATCTTCCCTGGGGGAAATGTTTGTGTCAGCTCAGTTTTATTCCACAGACGACATTGATATGACCGTGTCTTTGCAAAAGGAATCAAACAAATTTACCACAGAGCTGAAACTCGAGATAAATTGTCCTAAAGCCTGTTCAAAGTCTCATCTATTTACCCAGCAATAACTTTGGATTTTCTCATCAGTTGTCCATCTGTTTGTGGGCTCAAAAACTCCAGATTCCCACTTTAAACCAAAGCAACTTGACTTGCTGTGGACATTGAATGCATCACAACGTGACAGCCATAGAGGGGAGTAACTCACTGTGTCAGTCTGCCTACAGCATTGTTTACAGGGATTTCAAAGTTGCCAAATGACCTTTTTTTTTATTTGTAGACACAGTAAATAGTCACGGATCTCAATTCTTATTACAAGAACAGTTTTTTGTGGTTCATTTTTTTATTGTCTGAGATAAGCCTTTTACAGGGCAAAATCTTGAAATCTGGCCATCTTACTTTGCTTTCTGTTTACTGTCCACACTGGGTCCATGAGTTGGCAGTCGTGATGACATTACTCAGCAGAAGTTGCGTTACGACTGCGCGCCTGACTGTGTGAGTGTTTTCAGAGAGAAATATTCTCAGAATTCAAAGAGGATGTACAGAACCCAAAGAGGATTTTCAAATGTTTTTGTAAACAGAAAAACTGCATGTGAGTATTAATTTATTGTGAGTCTTCTATGATGTGCGAAGTTTCTTAAAGAAAGAAACTGAGTTGTGTGTCTCTTCCTCTTTATCCGTTGTCACACACATGCCATCAGTGTGCTGCTTTATTTTTCATCCTGATTGAGTTTGTCATATTCCCAGAGGCGTGTAGGGGTGGGGAAAGTGCCCGCTGCCTTTCTGGGCTTATCAGAGGAGGCTGGTGGAGGAGTTTCAGCTCAGTTGTGCAGAGACAAAGTTTCTTGGGTTGCACGGTGCGGCGGAGTGAAAATGGAGTCCTTGCAGCTTCTGTGGAAGCGTCTTGCCTCCAGGTTTTTCTTCCACGCTAATGCTCCTCCATGCTACACAGCATGAACCGGGTTTCCACAATACTTGTGCCACAAGTCAATAGCTTTGGTCACAATGGCGTCCGTGTTTTCCTGCGGGATCTGAGAGAGACACATGGAGTCAACAAATGCTGCACAAAACTCCAAATGGCTCAGACACCACAGCAGAAAAATGTTTCCAAACTGGTTCACCACAAGCTTTCGTTAAATATTGTGTTGCTTTAATTGCCTGATCCATCCTTGTTTCTTCCAGACTTTCTTTAATCTTTAAAAAAAAGTGCTCGTCAGGCCTTTTGAAGCCGTTTCAGACCATTTATTAACATTTTTAACTAATTTCAGCCCAAAGCTTGTTGTTAAATATAATTTTTCTGACTCTGAATAACTCTGTCTTATGAATCATTCAGGTAGAAAAAAGGGCCCCTAACTAAAGGGATGAGCCAGTGTTGTGTCTACACAGAACAGACAACATAGCAAAAAAGCAGTTTAAACCGGATCTTCCTACATTATTAATTGGAGCTTCGAGATGTCCTTCAAGAAGCCCCGAGAAATATTTCTACAGCCCCCTTATTCACTTACATTTGACAGAAATTTGACCATGCCGTCCGGTCGACTGATACCCATCAAGATGATCTTGTAGCTGAGCAGGATCTCCAAGGCCACGAACACCAGGATCTTACAGGAACCACTGATCACTTTATCCCACACCCTAAAAAAAGTTCAACAATTAGACCTTTCAAAAACATCAATGTCAGCTTTTTTTTTAAATAGATAAAACATGTATAAATATCTCAAAGGTTGCATTGACACATTTTAATTAAGAGGACAAAAGATTTAAACATTTAACAGGAATCAACATGAGCACTTTTCCTTAATGGTGAGATGTTGTTTGAAGTCAAATTTAGCTGATTTTTATTTGTTTAGGCAAGCATTGAGCATTGAACATATAGCAGCAGCCCTTTAAAAGCCACCAGTGCTTAAAAAGATGAACCAGATGGGTTTGTTTTGTTGTGTTGTAGGACTCCAGAGCAAAGCCAACCAGGCTTTCCCTGCTCCACTAGACCGTTTTCCTTCAACTGGAGGAGGAGAATAAACTGAATCCCACATAGAATCGGACCCCATTCTGTGCACTGACCTCTGCAGGCTGGATTCAGGCAGGCAGCCAGCGAAGCAGCGGCGGAACCAGAGGCCGTACGGCAGCTGAGCCAGCACGCCGCAGACCTTCAGATGGTTCAGCAGCCGAGGCTCCTCCTGGCTCAGATAATGCTCCAGGCTCTTTGGCTACATTGAGCAGAAAAGTCCAAATAAAAGGGAAATAATTAAGCTCATTTAAGAGACCAGCACCTAAAAAAAACATGAATTTACACAGATGTTAATCCAGTCAGAGGAGTGTTTCTTTCAAAGAAACAGAACCAGCGGGCTCTACAGCTGGGAAGTGATATGTCTTCCTTCTGTCAGACATCTACACAGGATTCATCATGCTTAATGTTCTGCCACACATCAGCTCCTTAAATTCACAGATTCAGGACAAAAGATTCTGCCTTATACAACTTAGATTAATGGAACCAACCTCAACCACCTCTGCTATGAAAGTTCAACCAAATGTTAACAATGACGACTTTAGCCTCAACTTCCATCAGCAGAAATCTGTTAAAAACAATCTATGAAAAACAGAGATTTGCTCTTTGAGTGTTCACTGATCCAACACTGCATCTCTGTTGGCTAAAAACTGTCAAAACCTGCTGCTTCCAGTAGAGTCTGTGGACCAAAGTGATTTATAAAGATAAAGAATAAATGTCCTCATACTGCTTCCTCATCTCGCTTCAGAGGTTAAAACAAACCCAGGAGGCGCATTCAACCTCGAAACTACTTACCAGGTGAGGCATCGAGTCTCCAAACTTTGTGTGAAACTGGCTGATGAAACACTTTATCAGCCAATAGCAGTCTACACGATCATCTACTATCTCCTCCATGGCACGGCTGATGGACAGAAAGTCTTCATTTTCTTCATCCTGAGAAAAGACCAAAGCAAAAAGAAAGAAAAATCTGATGAAACTTAACACTGAAACCCAAAAGTATAAAAAGGAAATCAGCCTTGTCTGAATTCTGTCTATAGGAGTGTATTCCTCCACAAGTTTATTGTATTCAAAATGCATCTTTTTAACTTTCCCTTTTTAATATAAACAGAGCACAAAGCAGAAACTTGATGCAGAAAACTGAGTGCCAGCAGCATATGACTTAGGTGCTTTCCCTCCTGACAGATTCAAAAGTGTGCCGTTTCTTTGAGCAATTCCAGGCTTTAATTAGCGGCTTAATGACGTCTTAATGGTTGGAAGTAGTTCTGTGACAACCATCTAAAAATCTCCGGCTCCAGTAATCTGTAACTGTGCACGGCTGTAATTAAAGGCTGCCGTGTCCTGACAAGCTCGGCTTTGATTACAGACACTTTGTGGAGACGTCAACTGAGGCGTGATTTGAGAAATCATCTACAGACATGCGTCCCCATTCCAGCACTATTAGCACTTCAAATCTGTAAGATTTGAGAATGTATTATGGGTAAAAATGCTTCTGAATGCCATGTCTTAACTTATTATTTTTGTCTTAACTTCTCATCTCAGGATGTTTCCTTAGGTGATCCCGACTTTTCTAAGAGGTTCTCTCATTTCTTGTGGTGACGTGATGTGCTTCCTTTTACCGGGGGAGAGGTTTCGGAGCACCGTGGGAGGACCTGGTTTTCCAGCTGGAACATGCGCAGGTAGATGTGGGTGGAGGGTGTGGAGGTGTTGATGTACCTCATCACCTCCAGAGCCTCCACAATGTCCTCATACTGCTCTTTCCTGTAGCCTCCAACCAGAGCGTGAGAGTCGCTGTGGGGGGGCAGGATACCTGCCAGACAGGGTCAAAGGGCACGTTGGGGACACTAAACTGATAAAGACTTAAATGAATGTACAGCACTTTATGATCATCTTCAATTAGAAAAAGTTTGGATACATTTTTTGGATGTATATTCTCATCTTAGTAACATCGCACAAACATTGCATGAACTGGAAACACCAAATTTATGACGACAAAAAATAAATTCAGTCAAGATACAAAAAAAATCTTAAATAAAATTAATCAATCTTAAGTTTACAAACATTAAATCATCTATTGGTTATTTGGATACAAATCAGAATTATCTTTGCAAAATAAGCTAATAGGACTAATAGAACAACCAAATAATAAGACAACCAAAAGTAAGTAATTTCCAATTCCAAATTATTAACACTTCCTGTGTTATTTAAGCTTTTACACTCAGCTCAGAGCCTGAAATGAACGTAGGATGTGCTTTATTTGACACTTTTCCCATGTAACGGTATGTTTCTTACCCAATAGCACTTTCCACACATGAATCCTGTACATGGAGGGCAGAGGGAACCTCTGACTGAAGGTGCTCAGCTTTTCTAGATCTGAGAGAAAGCAAACATCTACTCCTTTGAAAAATAACTCTGAGTGCCTGAGAGAAACATAGCACCTGATATTTCTGAAGTCTCAGAGACCAGTCGGAACTGGTCAGATTGAAATTATACAAATAAAGCAACTACAGTTACAAATGATACCCATACATCATAACAACGTTTGTCATGCAATCTTTGTCATGGCACAGTATCAACTTTATCAAAAAGATATTTCAATAAAACGATTTGTTCTTGAACGTTACTGAAATTCTTACACACCCAGTGGATTATCCTTCAACAATATCTCCAGTGATTTCTTCTCTTCAACCCCCCTGAAACCCACTTTTTCATAATATGCTGATCGGAAGTTTCTCTGGGGATCGTCAGCCATGGCATCTCCTGCTCAATGCCTCCTAAAAATCAATAACATTTAAACCTCCATTGCAGCGTGGCAACAAACTCATAGTTTGCGAGACTATACATTTCCTGAACTTGCAAATGTTGAGTGTTGAGATACAGAATGACTAAACAAAATGGTTCCGACCTTGCTTATTTCACAGTGTTTCCAGTTCGTAGTTGGAGCCTAATAAGGTGAATTCTGGTGAAAAGAAGCTAACGCTAGCTTAAACTCGTTAACCGACGACCTGTAAGTAACAGATATTTAAGTAATTATGTTAGCTTTCTATTATCTAACAGCATTTTTACAAATTACGCGGACATTTGTTTTATTCTTACATGCTCAACAGCTGAACCAACCTGAAGCTGAACACCTGCGCAAAATATTTATGCCAAAATGCTTTTCATGATAGGAAATCAACTTCCGGGTTATGACTTTCAAAGTTAAAATGGCAGTAGCGTTCTTCGTTTTAGTTTATGTTAATTAGCGTATATTTTCTTTTTCTCTAAGGGGTTAATATGTGCTCATTTTACTAAGAAGACAGATATATCTATTGTCTATTAAGAAAGTAAAGGGTCTTCTACTTTTATTATATTACTAAACTACAATATCATTTATTACAGTTTCCGGCACAATGGACTCCATTAAATTGCTGCTGTCCTAACCACAGACAGTATACAGTATATGTCCATGGTCCTATTATAGTCGTGTTTATTATTGTACTTTCATTATGTTTATTGTGACCACGGTGTACCCTGCCTCTCGTCCATTGACTACTGAGTTAGGCTCCAGACCACCCCCCCCCCCCCCCCTCGCGACACCATTAGGGAATAAGCGGTTATGAAAATGGATGGATCGATGGATAATTTATTGTAGTAATTATTATATGCTCGATATTTGCATCAATTCACTTTAAGCCACAATTTGTTTTAACGACACAATGAGTCTGTTACTGTTACTTGTTAAATGTATGCCAGCATTGCTTATGAAATATATATTTATTTACAATGTACAGTATATAAACCCATAATGTCTAACAATGAACCTGAAGCATTGGTCATAATTACATCTGGTCTGATGACAGACCAGACAGACAAAATTGTTATAAATTATAAAAACATATCTAAACTATAGGCAAATAATTGTTTTCCAACACTTTTTACCTTCATTGAATATTAATTGTGCATTAAATCAAACTGACGTCTTAGCACTAAAATACTTTTAAAATGTGGGGTAACTATAACATTTTACATATCTAATCTGCATGTACTTGATCAAAAACCTTGAAAAACTTGATAAGAATTCCACAGGAGCCAAAGTTTTATTTGGAGATAATAAAAAGTAGTTACGGAACTGGATGTATAAATGAAACAGAAACATGTTTAACAATTTATTTGGAAAAAATAAAACCAAAATTTAGAACCCTTTACTACAGGAAAAGAACAGATTATATTTTAGGAGATAACATAAAATCCATGTAATGTAATACAAGTAAAGTACATTTGTTATAAAGGCTTAGAAAAATAGATTCCAAATAGCAAGAAAAAAAAAGACAATCATTCCTCAATTCAGCCTATTCAAATACCATAATGAGGCCTCCATTAATTCTTTGGTTCATTGTCACGAAACTCGTTTTGTATGTTTTCTTTACCATTATTTTAATTACAATATTTTAAACACAGCATCACCAAAGCATGAGTCTAAGAAGATAAGAAGTGTTAAGAATAATGATCCTCCATGCACACACAAATCCAAACCTTTTAGTAATTTTCTGTATCCCAAAAGTGTCATTGCAAATTCTGGTTAATTTGCAAAAGGACAAAAAAGCAGTTGAGTCCTGGTTTTGACTTATTTTGCGGACGAGAAGCTGGTGAAGCTCAGGAAGTTTTGTGTTGTGTATGAGGAGCCTAGGTCCAAACTTCCCCTGCGGGAGCATCGCTGAGAGCCACTCCTGGAGCCTGTGGTGGATCCTGGAGCAGAGGCGACATTGTATGGACTACTGATCCCCCTAGAAGACATAGATGAAGCCTGGAGCATTTTCACCCCAGTACCCTCCTCCGACAGGCAGTTTTCCAGAGCCTCTAGGTAAGAGATTCTTAGTTTACTTTTGGGGCATGTTAGGTTCTTTGCATGGTGTTTGATGTCTTGGAGCCTCTGAGCTGTACTCCCATCCAACCAGCCCATCTTTAAACCATCCTGTATGCTTCTTCTGCACCTCATTTCAGGGTCATAAAGCCCCCCTGTTACAACCTGAAATTCCATGAATCTCTGTCCTGCTTCATAGGGAAGCCACATTTCCTTCATAGCCTCAGCAACTGACATCTTCCTCCGGGCTTTTACATCCTCGAAACCGATGTAGGCTTTCTGTGCAGGCTTCAGTTTATTGGACATATCGGGAGTTATTATTCCGATGCGAAAGGCCTCTTGAATACTGATCCTTTGCCCATTTGTGGGATTGACAATACCTCCTGTGCAAGCTTGGGCCTCAAGCAGTCTCTGCGCGGTGATTGAATCCACTAGACCACGATTCAAAGCCTCTGTGATTGATATCTTCTCTAAAGTCTCTGAGTCAAAAATGGCACCCACTGGTTCCAGCTCACCCACTGTCTCAACAGGAGAGGACAGAGTGACAGACACACTGGATATATGCTTCAAGGAATCAGGAGATTCCTCAGTAATAGAGCTGGGAATGGTGTTTTCTTTTGTGACTGTGGTAATTTTTGTTGTGGTTGTTTTGGTGAAAGTAGGCGATAAGGGTCTTGACACAAGTGTCGATGCTGACGAAGACGAGGACGATGTCAGGGATGCAGCACTTAAAGTTTCCGAATTTCTTGAAGTTGATGACGTACTAGAAGACTCTCCAAAAGACCCCGATGTTCTTGAAGTTGAAGCTGATGATGGGTTCGCTGAAGATGTTTCTGAGGATGCTGAGGACATTGAAGTTGACACAGATGATGACTGATGTTTGGTCTTATCCGCGATGATTTCAGCAAACTGATGGAGACTGATGCTCCGTGAGCGGTACTGCTGGAAAACTGAAACATCAATCACTCGCTTTTCAAGGAGTTCAGAGATGTCATACTGTCTTCCAGTTTTTCTGTCAATAATAACAAACTTTGTGGAACCATCTGGAGCAGTGATCGTGATCTCTTCCCATTCAGACTCCTGCTCAGATAACTCCTGGAAGGTCTCGTAGTCAATATACCCTTTGTCATACGCTTCACGGATTGTCATCTCTTTATCAGTTTCTGGATCCACAATTATCACCCTCCTCTTTCTAAGGGTGTTTTTTGAGGTTGACTCTTGCTTCTTCTTTTCAATGATAGGTAACAGAAAAAGGCCAGTCTTCTTATCTAGTATACAGCGTTTTTTAAGTTCCAGATAGGTTAGGTTTTCCTCTGTATTTGGGTCAAAGAAACCTTTAGTATCATCACTCTCATCGGTCAGGATCTTGTTCATTCCCTCATCAAAGTAACCTCGGTTGTAGGCCACATTCACATCAATACGATGGCTGTGTTCGGGATCAATGATGCCACCACTGGCAATCTGGGCCTCTAGTAGACGAATGCCATGACCTTTTTCCACAAGACCTTTGTCCATGGCCTGAAAGATGGAGAGTATCTTATCTGTTCCAGGCATTATGTATCCAGTCACAGCTCTTTCTGCTGCTAAAAGTTTGTCCTTATATTCTGCTCCAAACATTTGCCTGTCGTAGGCCTCATTAACTGTCAGATAGAGGTTATTAATGGGATCAACTATAAAACCTGAGGCAGCCTGGGCTTCAAGCAGCTCCAAAGCGGTGCCATATCTCAGCAGTCCATTTTTCATGGCCTGATGGACTGTCAACACCTTATCACTGGCCTCGTCGTAAAGTCCTGCTATGCAAGTGGAGCGCCTGAGGTATGAGTGTAGACGGTCTTCAACGTCTTGGCTTGTCAGTTTACCTTCATTCAATTGATCAATATTTGAGGGTTCCAGAAGGTTTGCATCCACTAGATCTATAACAGACACTGGCTTTCTGAGTCCTTGAACAGTTACAGGTGTTTTAGGTTTGGGGAGGAGCAAAAGACCTGTGCTGAGATCAACTTTGCATTTTTTCTTCAGTGATATATAGGTAGTTGGTTGTTGGGTATCTGGGTCAAGGTAGCACTCTGGATTTTTAGTCAAAGCCTGGTATATATGGTCATCAATGAGATCTCGATCCTTTGCTCTGTCTCTGGGCAGGAAGACACTGAGTGAGGGGTCCAAAACACCTCCAGCAGACTCTTGTGCCTGAATCAGATGTAAAGCTGTGTCCTTATCAAGTAATCCCTTTCTCATTGCCTGGCAAACTGACAGGAGTTTCCCGGTGTTCATGTCTTTGTAACCTATAGCGGCACCCTCAGCCGCAAGCAACATTGATTCATCCTCCTTCTCCACTACTCCTCTGGCACATGCTTCTTTTACTGTGAGTTTCTGATTTGTCTTTGGGTCGATAATGTGACCTGTGGCTGCCTGAGCACGCAGAAGCATATCAGCACAGCTGGATGGCATTATTTTTTGTTTCTTCGCCTCTGTGACAGACATCTTCCCTAAAGGTCCAGCCACCACACCAGCAATTGACCCTGTGCCCTTGAGAAATACCTTTTTATCCACAGAAACCTCTGAGACAGTTTTCTCTCCTTTCATTAGTTGATTGAATGTTGGTTTGTCCAGGATTCCACAATCAAGTAGCTGCTGTGCAGTGACTGTTTTGCGTACACCTTCAAAGATTAATTTGGAGGGGTCAAACTTCTCTGAAACTGGCAAAATATGTATGCCTGTGTGAGTGTTTATTTTACATCTTTTCTTCAAAGCCCCATAGCTGACATCATGCTCAGTTTCTGGGTCAATATAACAAGCAGGACATCTCGTTAGGGTATTAAGGAGTGTTTCATCTAAAAGGTTGCGCTTAAAAGCTTTGTCTTTAGGTAAAAATACACTAAGATTGGGATCCAGAATTCCTCCAACTGACTCTTGAGCCTGCAGCAGACGCAACCCAGTTTTCTCGTCAATTAGTTTCCTCGTCATGGCCTCAAACACTGAAATAGGCTTGGAATCACATGGATCCTTGAAACCAATAGCTGCACCCTCTGCTGCCAATAGCCTGTTCCGATCTTTGACATCCACCACTCCTTTGACACATGCTTCCTCTACTGTCAGTTTGAGCCCAGTCCTGGGGTCGATGATGTGACCCGTGGCTGCCTGTGCTTCCAGCAGTAAGTCTGCACTTTTTTCTGACATTATTTGTTGCATCTTAGCTTCTGAAAATGACAGCTCACTCTGACGTCCAGCCACGACCCCCGCAATAGGTCCAGATCCCTTAAGAAATATCTTTTTATCCTCAGATACTTCTGGGACAGTTTTCTCTCCTTTCAAAAGCTGATTAAATGTTGGCTTATCAAGGACTCCACAATCCAGCAGCTGCTGTGCTGACACTGGCTTGCGCACACCTTCAAACATCAGTTTAGAAGGGTCTTTCCTCTCAGGGACTGGCAAAAGCATCAGACTTGTTTGAAACTCTGTTTTGCATCTCTTCTTTAAAGCTCCATAGCTTGCCCCTTGCTCTGTTTCTGGGTCAACATAGCACTCAGGCTTCTGTTTAAGTGCCCGACACAGGTCTGCATCCAAGAGATTGCGCTGTATAGCTGTGTCTATAGGGAGGAAGACACTGAGGTTTGGATCTAGAATGCCCCCTGCACACTCCTGAGCCTGAAGTAAACGCAGTCCGGTCTTTTTGTCAATCAATCCCTTCTTTATTGCCTCAAATACTGATATAGGATGTACTGTAAGAGGATCCCGATAACCCACAGCAGCAGCTTCTGCTGCTAACAGCTTATCACGATCACTCTTGTCCACCACTCCCTTCAGACATGCTTCCTCTACTGTCAATTTCTGGTTCGACTTGGGTTCAATGATGTAGCCTGTAGCTGCTTGGGCCTCCAGCAGTAAGTCTGCACTCTCCGAGGGGATGAGCATTTGCTTTTTGGCCTCTGTCAAAGACATTTTTCCCAAACGCCCAACTGCCACACCAGCAATTGATCCCGTCCCCTTTAGAGGGATCCTTTTATCCTCAGAAACTTCTGGGACAGTTTTCTCTCCTTTCAAGAGCTGGTTAAATGTTGGCTTATCAAGGACTCCACAATCCAGTAGCTGCTGTGCCGACACTGGCTTGCGCACACCTTCAAACATCAGTTTAGAAGGGTCTTTCCTCTCAGGGACTGGCAAAAGCATCAGACTTGTCTGAAACTCTGTTTTGCATCTCTTCTTCAAATCTCCATAGCTGGCCCCTTGCTCTGTTTCTGGGTCAATATAGCACTCAGGCTTCTGGTTAAGTGCCCGACACAGGTCTGCATCAAGGAGATTACGCTGTATAGCTGTGTCTCTAGGGAGGAAGACACTGAGGTTTGGATCTAGAATGCCCCCTGCACACTCCTGAGCCTGTAGTAGCCGCAGTCCGGTCTTTTTGTCAATCAATCCCTTCTTTATTGCCTCAAATACTGATAGAGGATGTGCTGTGAGAGGATCCCGATAACCCACAGCAGCAGCTTCTGCTGCTAACAGCTTATCACGATCACTCTTGTCCACCACTCCCTTCAGACATGCTTCCTCTACTGTCAATTTCTGGTTCGACTTGGGGTCAATGATGTGGCCAGTAGCTGCCTGGGCTTCCAGCAGTAGGTCTGCACTCTCCGAGGGGATGAGCATTTGTTTTTTGGCCTCTGTCAAAGACAGTTTTCCCAAAGGCCCAACTGCCACACCAGCAATCGATCCTGTCCCCTTTAGAGGGATCTTTTTATCCTCAGAAACTTCTGGGACAGTTTTCTCTCCTTTCAAGAGCTGGTTAAATGTTGGCTTATCAAGGACTCCACAATCCAGTAGATGCTGGGCCGACACTGGCTTCCGCACACCATCGAACATCAGTTTAGAAGGATCAAGCTTCTCAGTGATTGGCAGTAGTAGTAGACCTGTGTGAGGTTCTATTTTGCATCTTTTCTTGAGCGCTTTGTAACTGGTTTCTTGCTCTGTTTCTGGGTCAAGATAACATTCAGGGTTCTGACTAAGAGCATAGCAAAGGTCTTTATCCAAAAGGTTACGCTGTATTGCTGTGTCTTCAGGGAGGAACACACTGAGGTTTGGATCTAGAATGCCTCCTGCTGACTCCTGGGCCTGTAGCAGCCGCAGTCCACTGCTGTTGTCAATCAGTCCTTTCTTCATGGCCTGAAATACCGATATTGGCTTAGCTATGTTCGGGTCTTTATAGCCAATAGCAGCAGCCTCTGCCTCTAATAATCTGTCCCGATCATTCATGTCAACAAGACCTTTGGCACAAGCCTCATCTACTGTTAATTTCTTATTAGCTTTGGGGTCAATGATGTGACCAGTGGCAGCTTGAGCTTCCAGTAGCAAATCTGCACTTTCAGCAGGTATTAGCATTTTCTTTTTGGCTTCAGACAAAGACATTTTTCCAGCTTTGCCAACTACCACACCAGCAATGGGCCCAGTGCCTTTAAGGTTGATGTTTTTATCCACTGACACTTCTGGGAGAGTTTTGTTTCCCTTTTCTAGATCTTTAAATGTTGGCTTGTCCAAGACACCACAATCGAGCAGCTGTTTTGCAGTGACAGGTTTACGAACGCCCTCAAAGACAAGTTTAGAGGCATCTACCTTCTCAGGAACAGGTAGGAGCAGAAGACCTGTGTGTGGTTCTATCCTGCATCTCCTTTTCATTGACATGTAGGTTGTACCTTCCTCATTTTCCGGGTCCAAGTATAGCTCAGGCTTTTGATTTAAAACTTCACACATTTTATCATCAATAAGGTTACGTTCAATGGCTGTGCTTCTAGGAAGGAAGACGCTGAGTATGGGATCCAGAACCCCACCCACAGACTCCTGAGCTTGTAACAGACGCAATGTTGTGTTCTTGTCAATTAGTCCCTTCTTCATGGCCTGGAATACTGAGAGTGGTTTGTTTGTGCCAGGTCCACTGTATCCTACAGCAGCAGCCTCAGCTGCTAGCAACCTCTCTTTGTCCTCATCATCGATAACACCTTGGTTATAGGCTTCTTCAACTGTTAGCTTCTGATTAGTTCTCGGGTCAATTATGTGGCCAGTGGCAGCTTGTGCATCCAGAAGCAAGTCAACACTATCTGGTGGGACAAGATTCGCTTTCTTAGCTTCGGTGAATGTCAGTTTGTGAAGGGGTCCAGTGCTAGACCCCGGACCCTCAATTACCACCCCAGCTATTGGACCTGTGCCTTTCAGACTGACTTTCTTTACTTTGGAAACGTCAGAAACTGTACTATGTCCCTTTACAAGTTGGCTAAGCGTCGGTTTGTCCAAAACCCCACAGTCAAGCAACTGGTCAGCTGTAACAGGTTTGCGGACTCCATCAAAAACCACAGAGGAAGGGTCCAAGGTTGGGGGCTCCCTGGATTTCTTCAGCTCAGTCTCCATGGTTTGTCTAATAATTGTTGTCTCCTGCAATTCTTTCTGCAGGGCTGACAGTTTACTTTTATATGTCTCCTCAAGCTGCCTGAGTTCTCTCATCAGCCTCTCAATCTCACTTTTTAGAGAATTCTTCTCCCTCTCAAGAAGCTCCTTGTCGGTATCATACTGTCTGATCAGCCCCTGTTTACCATCACATTGGTCTTTCCAGTAACTTAAATCTCTCTTCATCCTTTCGCTCTCGTCTTGAAGACACTGTTTATTGCGTATCTCAGAATCAAGAGATAGTTTAATGCGGCTGAGGTCTTCCTCTACTCTCTTCATGTCTTCTTTGTCCTTTTCCAGCCTTTGTAGTTTCAGCAACAAAGCATCTCTCTCATTTAAAATGTCATTGTACTGGGACTGAATGGACTGCATCGTGGTTCTTATCTGCAGCAAATGAAAAAAAAGACACAAAAAGACAAATGATTAATAAACATTAACATGCAGTGGTAACTCTATGGCAGAGGACGTTTTCAACTTTTTGAAATAATAAAATGAGTGGCACTGTCAAAATTTAAAAAAACAAAACACTTTTGCTCTTTAACATTTTCACTACAAAAAAATGTAAGCGATCTCTGACATTTCTGTTGAATTAGAGACTGAAACCTGTGCTTTTCCTAAAATATTAGCCTTTTTTGTCCTTGTTAAAAAGACAAACATAAGATTATGCTTTTTGAGCCATAAAAAATAAATGAGTGAAAAATATGTTTCCATAGATTTCTAAGATGAAAGTCAGAGTGAAACATGCTGAGCAAATCTATGAATGTTATAACAAAAAGGTATTTTGAATTTTCCAAAGTATCAATATAAGAATAATGCTTGAAATAAAAGTGACCAGGTCTAAAAAGCTGAGAAGAGATACTTTTTCCAAGCGTTTAAGAAAATGACCACGTTAAGGTAAAAAATATAGATTTTCTTAGTCTTTCAAAGCCTCACCTTGATGATGCAACAAGGTTAATTAGAATTACAACTATAAAACGATCAATTCTACCTATGACCCTTTTCTTTTCAAATGTCTATATTCTGCAAATTATAGAAAAAGCAGATATTTAATATCTTAACTTCCTGGATTAAAATGACATGATACGAGTGCTTATTTAGAAGATTTGCAAAACTATCTTAAAAACTACTTAAATGACTGAAAAGACCAAACAATACTAAAGAAAACAATCAAATTAAAGAAGATAGAAAGACAGGCGGTCTTTGATGGTGCTCACCAATCTGAATACAAGAAGTACAGCACAAAGATCGAGTACCTTTCCACTATGTGGGGAGGGATACATCGGGATGAGGAGATTGGGAGGCAGAGAGGAGGTCATTACTGCATGCAAGTGATTCACATGCAAGTTTATTCAAACACATTCAGATGTATGTGTTCAAATCAGAGTTATCTACAAGGAATCTATGGGTAATCAACAAGCAAAGGCTCAACTACTTAGGCTTCTAAGTGAAAATTCCAAGTGAGGACTCTGATTTGGAAAGATGAGAAAAGTCCAGCACTATGGGGGAAACTTCTATGTACCTCTGTGACCTGCTTTTGCGTTTTTTCTGTCTCCTGCTTGAGATTCTCCCTCTCAGAGGAGAGATCTGAGACCAGGTTGCGATAGTCGACGTTACTGCGCTCGCTGGCTTGAAGCTGCAGCTCCAGAGCTGTAATCTGTGAAGAGAGCTCATCATCACTCCCCTTTTTGGATCTCAGAGCCTCCTCCTTATCATGTCGTGTTGCCCTCAGCTCTTCCTCCAACCTCAGCCTTTCTTTGGTCAGGTTTTCTATCACCTCCTTCAGCCTCTGAAGCTCAACAGAGTTCTCATTAAGCTTCTTACTCTTTTCTTCGATAGTCTTGCAAAGGCCGTCGTATCTGCTGTTTGCCTCTTTCAGTTGGCTTTTCTCCTGAAACAGCTGCTGCTTGAGGTTTGTCAGTTCAGTGCACAGCTGAGTGATGCGCTCAGCAGATGTTTGGTTTTGTCTTAAACTTTTTTCTAGCTCCCCCTGCAGCCTAAGACGCTCTTCTGTGCCCGTCTTTTCTGCCATGCTGATTTGTTCTTGGCTCTGGCGCAGTGCTGTGATGGTGCTGGTGTACTCTGCTGTGGTCATGGCAGTCTTTTCAAGTTCTGCTTCAGCCTGCTTTCTTCTGCCCACCTCCTCCTGCTTAGCTTTCCTCAGATTCTCCACCTGGCTCTCCAGCCCGTCCCTTACAGCCTGCAGGTCCTTGATGCGCCCCTGTAACCTGTTCATGTTTTGTTCTACTCTGCTTCTCTCCTTGCTTTCTCTCTCCAGCTCAAAACGGGTTTTCTGAAGCTCCTCCTCACACTCCCTCAGTTGGGTTGCGGACTTTGAAGAAGAGGTGAGCTTCACCTGCAGTTGTGCCAAAGACTGCTCGAGCACAAGCTGCGCCTCTTCCAAGGTCTTCCTTCTACGTGTCTCCTCCTCTACACTGTGTGTAACATAAATCAGCTGGTCATTCTTCTCTTGCAGGGCCTTCATGAGCTCAGCCAGTTCTTCTCTGTATTGGCTGCGTTCTTCATCTCTCTGCCTCATTAGCACCTCCACCTGATTCTCCACTTCCCTCCTCTTGCATCCCTCCTCTATGAGTAAAGCCTGCTGTGTGTCGGCGTCCTTCTCGGCCATCTTTCTTTGCTCCTCAGCATGGCTGACAGAAATCCTCAGCCTCCTGAGTTCCTCCTCCAGATTCCTTCTCTCTGCCTCCATCCTCTCATTGTACAGCTGGGTTTCAGCTGAATCATCATCCCTCTGAGCCACCAGCCTTTGGATGTCTGTTTGGCTAGTCTGGATCTGGGATTCGTAGCTCAGCTTTAAGCTACTGATCTCTGAACTGAACTGGACCCTTACCTTTGATATCTCCATCTGCAGCTCCTTGATTCGTGCTGCTTCCTCTGCCAGCTGCCGCCGCAGCTGCTCAATCTCATGGTCTTTATTAGATACACTCTTCTCCACTTCCACTTTGGACCAGCTGACCGTCTCCAGCTCGTTCTGCCTCTTCCTCAGCACTGATTCATACTCGTCTTGCTGTTGAGTGTAGCGCTCCTCAGCCAACTTTGTCTTCCTCCTTTCCTCTTTCAGCAAATATTCGAGACGTGTCACCTGGTCCCTGAGGTCTGCCAGCTGAGTCTGAGTGGAGTCCAGGCTGTCCTTGGTGGCGCTGCACTCCAATGCCGTGGTTTGCTTCACTTCTTCCAGCGACAGCAGCTGGGTTTGGGACTGGGACAGCTCCAGCTGGTATTGAGCAACCTCATCTTCTAGGGATTTGTTCTTGGCGTTGCAGTCCTCCATGTTCTCCTTAAGAAGACGGAGTTCTTCTTCAAGGAGGTCAATTTGAGTGTTACGCATCTGCAAACAAGACACAGTGTTTTCAGGTCCTCTACATTCAGATTTGCCTGAATCTTTTCCAAAGCTGGGTTCAAATTCTTGAAAAAATGTCTTAAATAATTACTAAAGGTTTCTTTAAACGTTAGTTGTTGGCTTTTTGAAACTCTGTTGTTGTTGCAACTTGCAAAAACACATATTACCAATCTGATCACTGCAATTTATTTCTTAGACAATTCTGCTCTTCTTTAATATGCGACATGACCACCTTCTTATTGGAAAAACTTGCCCTTGATCCAATATGTTGGCTGTCAAGAGGGCCATGTTCTGGACATAGCCTAAAAGATAGGCCATGTTACTATTATGTCATTTCCCCTGAAATCAAACAGTGTCCTGTAACTTTGTACTCCCCTGTATTACATAATGCAGGTTAGAAAAGGGTCCCAAAGCATAGTAAATTATATAAAGATTTTGCAGGACGCCTTTACCAACATGCTGCTTAATAAAGTCTAAAGCCCAAATTAAAATATGAACTCGTTAGACAGATTTGAATAAATGTATATTGATACATGCTGGTTAAAGATGACTGTGGATAAAGATGCAAAATAAGTATGCAATAAGTACAGATTAAACATTATACCTTAAGATCTTCCATGTTTTTGAGCAACTCTCCTAGGAATTTGAGGTAATTTCCAGACATCGTCATCAATTCCATATACCGTGTTTGAAGCAGTGTAGCCTGGGGCAAAAAGAGAAGCAGAGGTAAATTCTCATAATTCAGAGAGCAGGCATTTGAGCAAACCCATAAAATAAATAAGTTGCCTCTTGGTTAAGTTCCATTGAAGGGGACCTCAGCATTGTCCTCTTTATGGGGATGTTTAGCAGAGTTTCCAAACCAGAGGAGTACGAGGCGAGGTCTGTTTCATAGTCCTGCAGAAAACAAGGTCGTTAAAGCAGGACGTGGACATCTTTAATGTTATTTAATGATTTGATGTTTATCCCACTTACCTTGATAGCATTCACACAGGCTATATTGTCTTTAAGCACACTGTCTACTGTCTCCTTCTTTGTTTTGATTTCATAGTTCAGGGCCTTAAAAAACAACAAAAATATAAGTGATAGAATCAATATGCATATTTATCTTAAATACAGATGGAAGGAATAGCAATAAAGGAATATGGTGCTAATCAGAAGACCTTAAGGTTGTTAATGTGGTCTTTTAGTGTTTGGACGCTGTCTATCTTCGTGGCCTGCAGGGCTTCCTGTGTTTTCCGAGTGGCATTAATCCATTCAAACAGGGTGGTGCTGGTTTGCTTGTAGTGGTGCAGCTGTGGCAGATATAGCTGCAGATCCTGCAGTCTGAATTATTATCAATTAAATCAATATAACTTTTTTTCAAATGTGACAGTGACACAATTTGAATGTGAGTTTTCAAAGTCAGACTTTAAGTGTCACGATGAATCAGAGAGAAGTGGAGAGACATACCTGGTGTCAATCTGTCCATGTAATCGTCTCCAGCGGTCAGACAGCAGGCCCACCTGCTCTGTGTATTTTGACAGCATCATGTCACACCTGTGGGAGCTGGTGCCCACCTGGTTGTTCCAGTGGGCTGCCTTGGACAACTCAGTCTCCATATAGGCCAGAACATCCCTCTTTTGATCCAATTCTGCTTTAATAGTCTACAAATCGACACTCATTGTAAATCATCGGCCGCTTTTCTGATTCAGACTGAATGGCACCGACTCATGTGCTTTTACTCAGTACGATTCTGCCTTAGATGAAGCTTGCTTTGCAGTAGAAATGGCCAGATTAGGGCCATACCTATTGTTGGCAGAGAATCTCTGTAGCTTTAATAATCATTTTGGTGAAATAAATTATCAGTATTATGCTGTAGATTTAATAAGTTATTTCTTATCTCTTTTAAAACATCATTGAAACCTGACCCAACAAAAACAGATCAACAAAATGTCAAACTTTAACAATGATAAATTAATATACATAACAAGTTTCGATTATAATATGATGCAATAGTTCTTATAAATGTCTGAATCAAATACGATACATTCGGCATTAATGGTTTAAAATGAACTTAAATACCTTCAGGGCCACCATGTATTCCTCGACTTCACTTGGAGACAGAGAAGTAGTCTCTCTTTCTGTCAGCCTCGCTTCATGAACCTTCACAAGGTCCTCTGCCCGTGCCACACTCTCCAGCATGTCTCTGAGAGCCCGGAGCCTTAAAGAGAATTTATTTTCTTGAATATGCAAAAAGGGTATATGCATTGTCTCACTAAATAATAAACATTTTATTCCTCTAATGAGTCCTGCACACAGTTCTATTCTCCTCTTACTTATTAGCATCTTATGTTGTGATTCTCTATAAGTGTTGGTGCCAGCAGTGGGTGTCTGACAAGGATCTACTGTACACAAGGCCCCATGCTGTTTACTTTGGCTATACTGCAAATGGGTGTTCACGAAGTTAAGCTTGTCTTTGATAACTCATTGCATACATATATGTGCAATAGCTTGTTTTAAGCAAAATTACGACAAATCCACTTATATTACTGACAGTTTTAGCATTTATTTATTGCTTAATTCAAGTTTTCTTGGAATTTGTTTACAAAACCAAGTCTGCAAATAAGCCGTTTCATCAGCTTTTGGTTAGCAGGAATAGAATGTCTGTTATGTACCTCTGTATATAAGCAGATGAGCTGCCCTCCAGACTATTTAACCTCTGGTTGATCACTCCAATCTCGTTTCGGAGGAACTGAGCCTTATCTAAATCTTTCATGTCTTCCAGCTCCTTCGTTATTCGTTCCTTAAGTCGCAGATATTCATTACGCAGCGAGTTGATGTCATACTGCACAGTCTGAAAACCACAAACACAGTTACTGTATTGACATTGAACTTTTTTTTTTTACTTCATGGCTTTTTTCTTTCTGCCTTTACCTCCAACTGAGAGATCTTGAAGCTACAGTCTTGCGACCCCTCGTCTCCAATGCAGATGTGAATGTGCTGACTCAGCGTGCTTTCGGCAGCCTCCATCTTCAGTCTGAGTGCGTGCAGCTCTGACAATGTGCGCGATGACACAGAAGTGGAGGACGAGGAGGAGGTGGATAGCTCCTTCCTCTTTACCGACTCAGTTTTGGTAGCCGACAGATTCTTCCTTTTAACCGTCTCTTTTCTCACCACCTCTTTCTTCACCTCTGTTTCCTGCTCCTGTTGTTTAATCTCTACTTGCTGTTGGCCTACCTCCAACACGCTGGTCTCTTGTCCCATAATAACATGTGGCTGCTGTATTATGTACAGCTGGGCCATTTGTTGTGGCTCAGGTTGCTGTATTTCTATTTGCTGCTGGGTTGCAACTATGTAGGAAAAGTGAAAAAAACAAACAGGATTTTAGAGATTATATGCTGTTGAAAAGAACAGCATAAAACATTAGTTTATTTCCATAACATAGAATGGATTATATATATTAGAACAAATAAAAACAATTGTGACTTAAAAGGAGTTGGTAAAAGGGATCAGCATTTGTAAATATTGCACATATTCAACCTACAAAATTTCATTTTTGATTATGATTTTTCTAATAAAACTTGAATTTCTGAATGGAATTAATTTTGTACTGGACAATATTAAACTAATGATTACCCATAAACTATTTCATGATGCAAGTAGTTCCGAACAATGGTGTGAAAAAAGTTTAACTTTTACAAATTACCCAGCAAGGTTTGTGACAAATATAGTCAAAACTTTCTCCATCTGTATGCCAAAGAACATTTTCTTTTAAGAATAATCAAATAAATATGAACCTGAGAAGTTGACTGGGATGTTTTTATACATCCTGGAGGGACTATGAATGTATTCTGATGGCTTTTTAAATAAACTTATTGATTTAGTTGACTCGAGTTTATCTATTAGTTTACGTCATATTTAATTTCATTTTCCATTTACATATTTTGATTTGCTATCTTTATATAACCATTTATCCTTTCCATAACTATAGCTTCTGAATATTTGGATCATATCTGAAAGTTCTTCAGTTTGAATTAATGTTGATACATCTCTAATTATTTTCTGTATTATTATTTTACAGTGTCCTACTATCTTGAAGATAAAAACATACAAACAAGAGGCTAGACCTTTGTAAATGAGTGGTAATTCAGTACTAACAGCAGTAAGACAGGTGTACAGTATGTGAGTTATACTGCATAGGTGTTGATCAGATACTGACTGTAAGTAGGCAGCTGCACCACAAGGTTGTCATAGTGTGCCTGAGCTCCACTAAACTGGCTCTCCAGGCTCTGCTTGTCCTCCTCCACAAACATCTCGGAGCCCTTGCTGGTCTCTTTGAACTCCTCATAGCGAGTCTCCATCCTCTTGATGATTTGTCGGTACTCCTCGGGGCGCATCTTGGACAACTAAATATGCACAAATATCATCTTGGCTTAAGATATGATCCTCCAGAAAGAAACATTACTCATTGTTTTGGTGGAAAAGACAGTCTGAAGCGTTATGTGAGCATCTGAAGACTTCTCTTAACTTTTTATTGTTACTATATTCCCTAAACCCCATGGCACAATCTGTTTAGTATAAAATTAATACATCTGAAAAGTCTTGATTGCCTAAAAAATGTCAAAACTCAGGGAAGAAAGATCCACCCTGATGCCTAAAGCTAACTGATTGTTTCCTGTCATCAGAACTGAACTGATGGCATTCAGGCTTTAGGGTAACTTAATCTCAGTCTCTGTCTGTATCATGAAAGCTACAACTGTATCCTCTATGCTTAATATTCTGAATGCAACACATATATGTTGCAGTTTCCTATCTTCCCACCTACATCTTGCATTTTGAATTAAACATGACAGTCGAGTTCTGACTGCATTTTGTCCTTGTTCTATTGGTTAAAATATTTCTGCCTAAAGTGGTTGGGGTTGAAAGGTTTTTATATCAATGCACCTTTGCCTGGTACTTTGATATAAAGACAAACAGACTGAAGTGATCTCACATGCTGAAAACTGCTGCTAATATTAGCCTAAAAAAGTCAGAGTGGAGTGCAAAAAACTTGCTCCACGCCTTAAAACTTTATCAAAGTGATGTCTTAGTAAAAGCTCATGTAAGTGCCAGCGTCTTGCAGAGAAGTGATGACTGAGATGGTGTTTTCTCTTACGATGGAAATGGTAAGGGAATTGATGTATTTGATGTCCAAGAGACAGTACTGCCAAGCGATGAGACTCTTCACATTGATGCACAACTGGGTCCAGATGGACACGATGGCCTCATAGAACTGCTCATTCCTTCACACAACACAGAATTAAAAGCAAACCCTTCAGTCAGAGTAAACGTGTTTTTAGACTTAAAATTAATCCATTGGATGATTCAAAAGTCAGAGAACACTCTTAAAATGACACCTGAATAACCCAGCTAGTAATGGGGGACTCTTTTGTGACTCACGTCATCACACCCGTGACGCACCGCTACTGAACGCGTTCAGCACCAGGGACAGCGCAATGAACACGTCAAGCAGCCGCATCTCGGACAATGCTCCCAGTTGTTGTTGTACATTTCTGTGTTGATAGCTTTTTAACCATAAGGGCTGTTGCGAAAGTGCTTGTGGGAATCAATTTCGTGACAAAATCCTGGTCTTATTTGACCTACTACATGACTACAAAACTTCCAATATTGCGGCTCTCAAGATAACGGCCATGTTCTGGACACAGCCAAAAAAAAAGGACCTTTCTCCCATTACAATGATCATTTATAATTTTCCCCCTAATTTCTGAACTAAAACAGTGTCCTATGACTCTTTACTCATCCTGTACTTTATTTTAAAAAAAGAATTTGGGCCAGGTTTCTTACTTTTTGGCGATGTGGATGCTCAGTGGGTTGGGGGGTGGCACAATCAGGCACACAGAGGGTATGGACATATCCAGGCCTCCAGGGCCTATCACCTGCCACTTGCTGCGCTGGCTGTTGTCCTTCAGGATGGCCTCGTTACCCTTATAGATCACTTTCTGTGAAGCCCAACAGTTTCTTTGTTACATATTCTTTGGTAGCACAACGTGAATGTGTCATAGAATGATTCTGCCGTGTGTGACTGTGATCTGATGCTTCCAAAGCTGACCTGGTCTTGTTTGTAGTCACACAGAGCTCTGACGACGACATCACTTTTCTTTTCCTCTGGGTTTCTGGGCTTCAGCCTCACAATGTTCCTCGACCTGTTGACCAGGTGTTGCACCTGCTGTCTGTAGTCTACAATCCTGTTGTTTTCCCTCTGATGATAATATAGGTTTCAGAATTAGTCATGGCGATAAACTTCGGCTTTTAATCTTGAACAATCACTTTGACCATTCATTTGAGGAACCTGTTAGATACGTGTGACTGCTGTTCTGCGTGAAGGCAGTCTGGCACAATAATATAATATTTGTGAAATGATTATCAAGACATAAAACAAGCATCTGTGGATGCCTTAAGCTGCTCATACCTCAATGCCTTTGAGGAGCTCCTGTAGGTCCTCCAGTGACGTGTTCTTATCGCATTGGAACGTCTTCTGAATCATCTCTTTTTCCTTTTGCAAAGCACCATATGTGTCATGGGCCTCTTTGAAGAACTGTTAAGAATGCACAGAATAATCCAAACTGTCCATTACAAGTTTCCCACCAGGAAGGCTATCAAAGTCAAAAAGTAAGAGACTGCGTTTGCGTTGTCTGAAAGAAAATGTTTCTTTATTTGTGTAACATTTCATGGTAAAGAGCTGTTTATTTCAATTCGTGTTTGTGGAATCTGATGAAGAGCCTCAATAAGTCTTGAAACTAGCCTCTCGTTCTGTAAGTAAGAGACTGAGAGTTATCTTAAGCTTAACTGGAGAAACATCTCTCGGAGATTGGGGACTTTTAAAGGCTCCTACACCCTGACCCTCTGCATTTCGACCTCAAAACTTTGGGACGGCAAGTACCTGTGAGCATATATCTGCCTGGTCTCTACCAGGTTTTGAGAGAAATGACAGTCTTTAGTTCAGAAGCTGGTTGCTAACATTGTGTTTGAGTTGAGCTGATTTAAATTACCTGGCTGTAGGCTTCATTCTCCTTCAGATGAACATCAATACACTTTGTAATTTGAAGAAGCCAACTCCACTGTGTCTGTAATGTGTCCTTGTATGCCTGAAAGCGCACAAGCACAAGGGTAAGAAAAGGAAACCATAAACCTGTGGCATTTTGGAGTTGGATCTGTTCACACCTCAATCTTGTCAGAGGCAGGGTGGTTGTTTTTCAGGAGGGCATCCGCCTTAGAGTGCAGTTTATATAGCTGCCTCTCTTTGTCCTCCAGGATGCTCATCAGTTTCTGTTAGATAACCACAGATTGAGTAATCACAGGGGGGGCAGAAAAACATAACGATGTGCAGAAAAAGCTTTGCGGCTTCGCTCTAAGAGGATGAGGCACAGCACCTGCCAAAACCTAATGCACAGCAGATGCTGGCTCACTGATGAGATCCAGAGAAACGTTAAAAAATGTACACATACAGGCTCGCAGAATTTGCCAAGAAATTTGCCAAGAAATGTCTGAAGCATCCACGGATCGTGAAGCGCTTTACCTACCGAGTAGCTCTCCTGCTTGATGGGAATGTACTGGCCGATGTTCTTGTCTCCCCAGTCAAACATCAGCTCCTCTTCCTCCTTTTCATTCACCCACATAATCTCGTTGGAAATCTCCTGAATGATGTCCAGGAGGTCATGCAGCTGCTTTGTCCGGCCGAATGACATTGTCTTGAAAGATGGAGGACAGGTTAATGCTAACAGGAAGAAATACAAAACTCGAGTACTGATGAGAACTTATTTTCCTTCACCATTAAGGCGTCCCATTCTCGCTCAAGCACATTGCTGTTTGCTTTGTCGCCTCTCCTTGCCTGAGTAAAGAGGGTAACACATTAGGTAGAGCACTTTTCATTAACACAGGTGTAGACAGTATAGCCTTGATAAAGAGGGTTCAAACATATTTGTGGACTCTTGTTTCAGTATGGAGGGAGTACAGCTTTGTACTCCCGAAACAGCACTCTGAACCCACCAGCTCATCTCGGGCTCTTATCATCTCGGCACCCATCTGGATGGAGCTGTGAAACATCTGGTGCTCGTAGATGTTTTTCTCTATGGCAGTCGAATCGTCTCCAAACGAAGCCGTTTCAATCAAACGCTGTGAAGCCACACAGCAGAAACATTAACCCAACATACTTTTGCAAAACTCTGTGAACCACTGGTCAGTCAGAGGCTCTGAGCGTTGTGACCAGCGGTTACTCCAGTTTTATTTGCTGGAGACGAGCCACTCTGGCTCAAATAGCTCAGGAATCCATCAGGATATAAAGATAACATCAGAACTATGCTTGTGATGTCTTTACTAACGAAGACTTTTCTCTCTCTCTAAACTTGGTGTAAACACGTTGGGTTGTTTTTATAAGGTGTGCCAACACCACAGTCTTTCAGGCGCTGAAGGTTTCTGTTTGAGAATTAATTTTTACCATTTCCACAAACTTCTTTCATACCTTTTGTGTGACTCGTTTTACTATTTGCACTAGTCAGCACAATTTAAAGCCATCAGAAATATGGAAAGAATCTGCAGCGTGTGTCAATGAAATGATGATTCGTATTTCCTGAGGAAAATGACATTTTTATGATGATGATGGGGTTAAGAAATAAGTTATTACTTTGTTTACTTACATTTGTGTTGATTTACTGAGATAGGATGTTTGAGATTAACCTTCATACAAACTGTCTTTCTTATGATCGTGACTGCAAATTAATCAGTTTCATATATTTACAGTCCTTCATTTAGTGTTTTGCTAAAAAAAAGAAACTGAACATTTGCCCTTCTTGCATTTTCAATAATAATGTCATGAATTGTAGCTCAGAAGGGACTAATCAAATGATTTTTGGGAGGATCTTGTTTTGTGTGTGTGCATGTGTGATATCTAGAGGGAGGATACTGAAACGGTCGGCCTCTCTTTCATGACACACCCTGTCTTTCCTGTTTTGGAGGTGTTTGATTAAAACAGTCTTCCTGGAGGTTACTTGGTTTAGGATTCCTCCAGAGGAACTGTTTGGCCAGGTAAAGATCCTGTTGTGGAAACAGTGACTCAGTTCTGTTTGTGTGTGTTTGCACATGCCTTTTGTTGTGCAATCCAGCCCATGGCATCTGTGAAGCTTCGACTAGGTCCAAATTCCTCCATGCCTCCAGAACTCTTTCTGGTGCTCCTCCTCCTTTGCATAGTACCCGGTAATGTCATGTGGATTCCCTTCAGCTGGCTCATACAGATATCCACACTGTGAATGGAAATGGTAGGATGTGGGGCATTGGCTTTACATGTATAGCTTCAGAATGGTTAAGGAAAAAAAAGACTTTTAGATTCATAGAGAAGCCATATTTACCTCCTGAGTACACTTTCACAGGATTGTCCCATGTGATTCAGGTCTGCTGCACAGCTCTTAAGCCTCTCGATGGCCTCTCTGGCCCTGCCCATGTAGTGGTCTGCGTCGGCCGAGGAGCCACCCTGCAAAACACAGATGCAAAACCGTTTACATAAAGTCACTATTCAGGAGACTAAATACACATGTTCCTGTGATTCAGCTGAGAAAAAAAAGATCTCCACTTATTGACCTTTTGTTGAACTCCTGAGAAAAACAAACTCTTAAATGTCATTTTACTATAAATGAAAGAACAGTTTTGAAATGTATTCAAACTAGCTTTGGCTGAGTCTGTCAAATTAATTATCGTTTTGGCGGTTTCTGTTTCTGAGAAGTAATTAAAATATTTTCACATTCTCGGCCTGGTTTCTGTTGCACCATCAAGTGACTCCAAGTACAACCACAAAAACATTCCTTCCATTCCCGCCTGTGTCTCTCTGCCAGCAGAGCATCTTCTTCAACACTCGGGCCTTTTACTATTAAAGACAAACACTTTTGACCAGAACAGAATCTAATCTACAGCTGGAGGAAAGGAGATAGGCAAAGGCAACTCACAGACTGAATGATGAACTCGGCCTGCTTCAGATTCTCGATGCACTGCTCCCTCAGGACTGCAGCCTTCTGGTTGACGGCACTGAGCTGGCTGACACTGCAGGGGGCAGCAGAGCAAGTTGGTTACCATAAGGATCACATGAATAATCAGATTCGGAAGCTTTGTGATCTTTACAGACACATATACTGCTGTGCGGCCAGACAAAATGGAACTTATTTTGGCTCTATTTTCTAAAATGTGAGTACAGATTATACAGTTGTAATAAGTTTGTCTTCTCCCCTATTGCCAAAACGGCATGTTCAACAAATAAAGAATAAGAATAAAAAGCAAAAGTAGCAGGATAGTATAATTCAGTGAAGATGTCATATGTGATATCCATGGATTTTGAGTCTGTTCTTTATGAGTGCTTCATGGTAAATAAACCATGACCACAAGTTTTTCTGTCTTCTGCAAAACCCGAACATAAACTGCAGTCATCTGAATGGCCCCATAACGCAGAAGGATATGTATTCTGCATTTTTTCATCAATTGACACAATTTGCTGAGGTTGTACAAATTTCAAAGCAGCTTATTTTCCCATTCCAAAACCCGTACTTAAAGATTTTTATTTGAGTCTGCCTCTATAGCATAATCTTGATAACCATTTAAAGTCCAAAATAAATCTCTACCATATTAACTGCATAACTAAACTGAGCATTCAGACCTGGCTTGATGATGATAAAAAAAGTTTTTTCCGTATTTAAGTTGCATGCATTTCCCTAAACTGTAGCTGGATCGTAGCTTTTATATGACTGCTATGCTCCTGATCAACTACCACGTAAAGGGGTCTGACCAGTTAATAACACAATTAATATCACCTAATTTCATAATCCTGCTTTCACATATCGTTCCTATACACTGTAGTTCTCTTTCAGTCTATTTCTTCCAGTTATTTTTTAAATTTAAGAGGCTAAAACAAATTATTCTTATGTTGTTCATTATTTCTCATTGTTTTACCAGGGTGTCTCACATCAATGCTGCATAAAAACACAAGTGTGAAAATGGCCAACTAGTATACACCACTAAATAACAATTAAAATACGTTTTTTTTGTCAGGATTGTTTACCTTCTAAAAGGCAGGTTTCCCCTACAAATATGATTGGATTACACATTTGAGATCAATGGTAACAAAAAATAACAGGGCTGTTTTTTGTGTGCTTGCACTTACAGCCCAAAATCTATGGAGTCAAGCATAAAGGAAATAAACATGTGACTGCAAGTTTCATACAAACATCTCTGAAAATTGATAATCATGAAGGCATTTCTGTTTTAAAAATTAGTTACGAAAAGACAGGTATGGTATCATAGTATCTGCTTAATGATCCACAAATCAATATAGCCAAGAGCTAAATTAGTAAGCATGTTCTGTGACTATAGTTCATTTTCATTTACGGACAGACTGTTTTTTAACAACCTTTCTCATGATTTGACAGTCTGCATCTTTTTGATGCAGCTCCACAGATCATGCATACAAACTAAAAATATGACCACTAACCAAAGCAAACAATCAAAAGCTATAGGCTGAAAGTCAGTGATCTTTACCAAACAAATTCTTCCTAATTTTAGAAAAGATTTTTCTGATCCGATTTTTTTTGTGCAATCTATCATAGAAGGCCCTTTGTAGCAACAGATATGTAGCAACAGATATTTCTTTTTGAGTTTTCCATGTAATATGTAGGATTATAGGAATACATTTCTATCAAACTGGACTATTTTCGTGACCTTTTCCACTTGCAAAAATCTTATATTATAAAGAATATCCATAGAGTCAAACATCTATTCATCAATCAAGCTATTTTCCCGCACATTTAGCATTATGGTGACTATGTTGGTGCATGGGCTCTGAAACGATCAAGAAGAGTGAATGAAAAGAGTTTCATCCGTGTGCAATAACCGAGGCAGAGCTTCTGCGTATTGGATCATTTGTTTTATAATCCACAAAAGCTGGATAAGTGGCTGTAAATCATCATTAAACCCTATAAATCGTTAGTCACTGCATCTTTATTTCTTTATCAGTGTGTGACTGTGAACAATTATGTAATTTAAGGATTTGGTAACACTGTCAAACCGTGAGAAACTTGGTAGAATGGAATACATGCGCACTTTTCTTTTTTGTAATTCAGCCTTTTTCCCATATACTCTATGTCTAATTACAGTCCGTTTAATGAAATGTCAGGTGTTTTCAGAGATTAGAGGTATGAAGTGTGCAGTAGTTTTGTTTTGTTTTTGTTTGTTTTTTTCACTTCTGTAAGGTGATCATATATGAGTATATATATATGAGCCAAGTATACTTGGCAGTTTAACTTTTAAGAGTCATCTGGGTTTTTGTGGACCGAAATTGATACTATGATGAAAGATGCTTTCATAATTTATATTTAATCATTACACGTTTTGACTGAAACTGAAACGATTGGAATGTTTGAGAAAACATGGACAACAGGTTGTAAAATAAAAATATATATATTCCAACCTCATTCCTGACATGGTACCGCCTCCCATTCCTGCTGCCATTCCGCCTCCTACATGTACAATTCCGCCTGCCATTCCGCCTCCCTTAGACATGCGATTTGGTAAGGTGGCGACTCTGTATCCATCCATGTAGGAGTCATGATCGTCTCCCTGCAGCACCTCGCTCCGTGCGTAACGGTAGGCCCCTCCGCCGTCCAGGTCTCCCCTGGAGCCGGCCCTCCGCGTCATGTTCAGCGACTGGCGTGATCCGTACATGTTTGGCGCTGATCGTGTGACAGAAGTGCTGCAGAAGTGACCAGAGCAGAGCCGGTGGTGCCCGGTTTATGCCTCCACCTGTCCTCCCCGGCCCCCCCGCTGCAGACTGCGACCGGCGGGCAGGGGAGGCGCGCTTTTCAGAGGGCGATGGCCACACCTTTCTGTCAGCGCTCAGCCAAAAAGTTTTTTGTAATCTCCCTGCCACTCCCCTCGTAGGACAGCTGGAGGCACAAAATGTGTGCATAATTAGTGCTTCTGTACATCAGTCTTTGTGGGCGGTGATATGACTCTCAGAGAGGAGAAACAGTTGGAATAGCGGTCATTTTAATTATAGTGTGGGCGCATCGAGTTGAGACCTCGTGAAAACTTTTTTGGGAGCCTGGAGAGGAATGCTGGTAAAAAGGCAGTTTTTTTTGCGTGGTGGGAACAACTTGCAGATCACTAAACTTGAGAGAAGTTCCAAGCAATGCTAATCAGAAGGGAATAACGCAGGGACTCATCTAGGTTTCAATGACCCTGGTCAGGTATAGGGGAAGTAATAACCAGTTAAAAAAGCCAGGGCCACTAATGAGCAGGGACTGGACCAGGAGCTGGGCGGCTGGTTGCTCAGGAACAGTCTGGTCGTTAATAAGGACACCCGAATTCCGAGCAGCTGAGACGGCACAAGTGACACAGAGAATGTATTTTTGCAGAGATGTCGGGGGCCGTGTGGTTTGTTTAAGAGCAGCAGTTCTGTGTCAGAGAGGCTAAGTTGGAAGTGGTGCTCTCATCCGTGTGGATGTGACAGTGAAACAGTCTGAGAGGGACACAGACTGGGGAGGGCTCAGGTGGAAGTAACAGACCTGAAAATGGAGCCCCCATCCCATAGCCCCTTCCAATAGCCTGAGGGAAACAAGGTCCAATATGTTTAAATTTTTCATTGCAAAAATCCTTAGGACACATTTTAACATTCAGAGCTACTTAGCCTCATAATGTGTGCTTAATCAGAGTCTTCTTGCAGGGTGGAAAAACTGTTATTCCTGTTTTGGAGGCACGCTGAAGTTTGAAATACTCAAAGCCTCTGCTGATTGGTCCAACGACGTGGAGTGACGATCGTGACGTAGATAAAATGACTGAACCTAATGTAGCTCCTCTCCCAGTCGAGGTCAAACATAGAGAACATGAATGTGGATGAGCTGGAGTTTGTTTTGTTTTTTAATGAAAGGACACCACCTGTAACGTAAACCAGAAACTCTGTTTGTGTCGGCTGTAAAGGTTCAAAAGCTTCCAGGCAAACTGCTGAACTGACAAGTGATATGGACGCACACACTCATGTGCACGCACATGGCCTGCAGCCAGAAGGTTGGACTGTGGGAAAACAAGTTGTTCATGAACGACAGTAGAACGGAATCTTAAATCCTCATTTTACGAAAATCCCACAATTCGACGACAAAAACCCAAATGTCCATCCATGCATTCACACACGCCGCCATAATCCAAATCCCTTTGGTTTAGTACAGTCTCTGTACCGTCTCTGTGCTCCGAGCACCTCAGAAAAGAGCTCATATTACCAATGTTTTAAATCGTCTAGCATCTTTGTATGACATACAGTAGAGTCTTTGTCTGCTTGCCGGCTCTCTGACCCTCCTGCAGAGGCTGAAACGTGCCGACAAAGTGGCGAATCTGCACACAGCGCTAAGAATTTAGTCACATTTGAAGCCCGAAAGGAAGTACACATGCTTATTTCTCCTTTCTTGTATTTGTATTGAATAGACAGGGTGGTGTAGCGAGGACTTTATTTGTTGGTGTTGTAGGGATTTGAACTAATGTAATTCTAATTAGGTTTTTTTAAGGAGTCTAAAAGAACTGAAGCAAAGTGTGCAAAGGCAGACAAACAGGCCTCTGCTGGTGAAGTGATGTCCACTGGGAGTATTTGCAGTTTCTGAGTCAACATTGATCTCGTCTGACAGTTAAAAAGCATGCTGTGCAGTGATGCCATGATATATCCTGCAAACATCACCACAGACAGCCAAGAGTCTGAATAAACTCTGGAGCTGGTGAGGAATCTAGCATGTATTTGTAAGCATGTGGTATAGTGAGCTATGCATGTGTGAAAATCCAAACATCGACATTTGAAAGGGGAAGACACGATAAGGTGTTTTGTGTTATGATTTATAGCCAACGGGGGTTTTCCATCAGCTCAAGTCTAATTGCAGACTTACCGCAGAACAATCTCTAATACGGCCACGCGGCCAGTTGCTAGGACTCGTGGAGCTTCCACACGCTCGCTTTTCTGTGTGATTCATGAAGGTAATAAACTGCTCCAACCCTTTCAGTTTGAAAAAAAAAAGGCTGGTCCCGTATATCTGTCGAGTTATTCCCTTTGGCAAGGGCCATTCAAGAACACGCCTTTGCCTGTAACTCAGACAGAAGCAAGCATCTTGCCAGAACAGCATTCCAGCGCTGCTGTTGCTTTTCCAAAAGCTACGACGAGCAGTCGTTTTCACCTCCGAAACAGCATGGCTGTTCTCAGGTTAAGAGGAGGAAATCTTGACACTTAACTCTGACATAGGACGAGCATATGTTGGCAATGGAAGCAGTTAGAAGGCATAGATTGTTTTGCACTTTTACGTCATAAAAAATTATGTAAGAACTGTCAATTAAGTGTTATAATTTCCCACATTAAGCGAGCCATTCACTGAGCCAGACTTGAATTATCTAAGGGTGTGTTGCTAGGGTGTAGCCCTGCTATTCCCACCCTCAATTCTGTTCATTCCTGATTTCTCTTGACAGGACAGGGCTTGCACACCTGAAAGAGTCTTCAAGTTAGCCAGAATATTATGAGCCCTAACTTTGTGTGGCATTATTTGGTCTTGCGCAGGTGGTTGTGGCACCCCATTTAATCCGAGACTTGACTTTCACTACTGTTTGCCTTAAAAGTTGATTTGAGGTGGATTAGTCATCAGAGGGGTATCTCCTATATAGAAAAATCTCCAAATGCTCTTTGATGAATCTGAAACGTTTTCACTATTTTAGAATATTGTGAATTCTTTCCTTGAATTGAATAAAACTGAGCACTGGACATCTTTCCAACTCCAATGATATCTCTCAGCCTCTTTAATTTATGCTTGTTTTTTTTTTTTACCTGTTTCCTTTTTCCGTTATGTATTGTTGATTTGATTTCTAGATAGTCTACAGACATTGCTAAAAATTGAATGAATTGGGTTTCTTACGGAAGTTAATTGTCTCTGCCTCAGAACCCAGAACTGTCGCTGAGTTTGGGAAGAGGGCGTTAGTGATCTCTGCTGCCTTTATTTCAAACAGGCTCTAAAACACCATCAAGCTTCAGCCCTTTACTAGCCTTTCTCCACTTTGCCATGACATACATAACTTCTTCTTTGGCTTTTTATCTCTCTGTCATTGTTTGGTTTTATTTTATCGCAGAAGCAAAAAAAAAAAATCAAACAGTTCCGTGGAGCTAACTTACTGTGCAGTGAGTGAATTACACAAGAGAATTTATTCCATTTTCAATACAATGCTTAAAAGAAATTATTAACAGGGAGTGGCAATGTCAGATAATGTTACATCAACTAAAATCCCTAATAATGTTTCTCTGAAATCAGTTTAGATAGATTTTAGAGTTTTGTTCTTCCACAATTGTGAGGGATGTTTAAAAAAAACTGGTCAGAGTAAAGCTGTTTTTTATCCCCCTCACAATTATTTCAGATTGGGCTTGATATATGAAACTCACTTTGATCATCTCCAACTTGGCTGTGTCCCACAGGTTAACTGTGGGAAGCTCCTGAAAAAGCTCAGCCTTCACACCCACAACTGGCTGGAGGGTTCCACACCAACAGAAAGCAATCATAACAGTCTCTGAGTGCTCGCTCTGCTGGGCTGACTCAGCCTTCAACGTGGCGTGTACAGACAACGCGTCCCTTTTAACTTTGCCCCTCTGGAAGAGGAGGAGCACTTTAATAATTTTTGCATGCATTTCTTGACTGTTGGAGTAGATGTCTCGTCTTGTCTGGTCCTGGACAGCTTCAGCTTTGCCTGTTCTTGACAGTGTGTGCCAAAGGAAAGTTGTCAGTCATTAAGATGGAAGATAAGTGATGATGATCGATTGCTGTCACTGCCAGTGTTCAGGGTGTGTCTACTTTACCTTGTATTGATCTCCAAAGTGAGAACTACTTCTGAGCTTACATGACGGGATTTAAAATATATATAGATATATTATCTAGATGCAGGTTTTACCTACTTATTACCAGTTTTTAACTGTTTCTACCAGGTTAAATGCTGACTTACTCCTATTCATTTGCAGGTGCTTTATATTGAGTCGCAGTTCACACACTTAAAGATAGGAGATGATAAATATTTGTAAAGCTAATCTGTGGAGACAGCAGTTAACAGAAAGAAAGCAGCGTCTGTCATGGGCTCAGGCAGAGGTGTGGTTCCTGCGCCACCTTGTTGCCCCGAAGGCTTCAGACATGCATGGGGAACATCTTTGTCTACGCCTGTAAAAGCAGGTGCTGCAGGGAGTACACATGAATATAAAAGTTCAAAGTTATATCCATGAAAAAGCAGCTTATTCCATTCACACATTTTTTAAAATATCTATTTTAAAGAAACAGTCAACAGGCTAGTGGTTTAACATGTTTCCTCACACTACCTGAATCTACTTCTTTGGTTTTGATTGTCTTCTTAAATCTAATGGGTTTAGAACTGTTATTTGAATCCATAAACACAATGATCTTAAATAACCACAGTTAATAGTTGCATTGAGGCAACTCCAGTTAAATAAAAAGACAAGAATATCAATCTCTGAGTTTTTTTAGCACTATAATTAAGTGTTACTCTGGTATCATGTAATCACAGCACAGCCTCTGAATAAAAAAACAAATAAACAGCAGAGCAAGAAAGTAAGTGTCAAGTCAAACAGATTTTTCACACACAGAGACAGACATGGTACAGTTGGCAGTGAGACGCTTTCATGACGACAGTGCGTATAAAAAGGTGACTAATTAATATTTAAATAAAAAAAGTCAATTAAAATATGTAAAAGTGCAAAATATGGATGGATAGATTAAAAATGACAAAAGTTCTGAAAAAAAGAACAGAACAAAGGCTTTGCAACATAAAAAAAAGGGTCAAGAATATTGTAGAAGAAGTGCGTTCAGTTATTATTGAGCCTCTGAGGAGAATCTTGTAATCTACAGCAACATAAAGGGATTGCATCACAAAATATCTTGTCAGCTGTGTTTTCTACAATGCATTTGACATTTTCAGGTTAGCTTTTCATTTTTTGATTTGGCTCCAGTTGTCAGTTCATCCCGCAGAATTTAAAGGGCAGAGACAGCTAATGTGCAGATATGTAAGATTGATCAGTCTCATTCTCTTTTTATCTGGGTGTTGTTGCTGTCAGATGCAGAATATTCAAAACATATGTTAATGAAATGAGAAGCTTGCGGTTCCCTCTCATGCAGCACTAAAATCAACGCTGTCAACGAAAATGTGTCTGTGCACCTGGCTGTTTTGTTGACCTGAATGCAAATAAAAACTGATACGCATACATACAAATAGCATCCTCTCAAGCGGAAATAAATGCTGAATAAAAACATTACATTTACAGCTCATATGCTACAATTGAACACATATTGTTAGTTTGATTTTTTATGGTAAAAATTCAATCAAAAAAGTGACCAAAAAGTAGGTAGAATAAGTTAATGCAACTTACTAATTTGAGGACAGCTGCAGTCAAGAAACACCAAACACATTTTCCACTTGTGCCGTTACAGCTGATTATCAGCGTCCCCCCCTTGTTACATGTGCAACAAACACAGAGACAGTTTTCTTTCTTTCTTTCCTTCTAATGCTAACAACCATGAATAACATATTCAATTAACTAGACATCAGAGCAATATCTTTGTACGTGTATGTGTGTGTTTACATCCCGATTGTTGAATGACTAGTTTCCAGGAGTGTTTATACTATAGTAAACCTAGCTCTAGATAGCTTGAGAGATTTCCCTGTGAACACAAAGATGCAAATATCTGTGTAAAGAAGCGTTGTAAAAAGGGAAGAAAAAAAAACAATGTCACATGGTAGTTGAAGGAGAAATTAGACTTTTTGAGGTCAAAATTCAGCAACAGGTTGAAGGGAGGTCCCAACAACTGAATGGTTCAGGTATTTGCATCTTGCCTTATCTTCTTTCCAACTGTGGGAAAATGTATTGCTTGATCTAAAATAATAATAGCAAACACAACAAAGACAATTGTTGAAAGGAGTGGCTTATGCATATCAGTGATGAACTACAAGCAATTGTTGCAGTAAAAACTGGCAGCAGCTTCTGTTGAAGGGAAAAGACACAACCCACTGTGTTTTCTTTAGATATAATTAGTTCATATTTCTCATGTTTTGTTCTTTGTCATTCCATAAGCATCTGTTTGATATGCACAGGAGCTATTTGCACATGCTTTGAATGGTTGGCTATTAAGTCTTTGCTTTGGGTAGAGCAGCAGCCATCAACCAAAAGACACCAGTTTGACAGCAAAAGTCAGCGTTTTACCAACTGTTTTCTTTCCCTTAATGCTCGTTCATTTTATGGCAGTTATAACAGGATGCGAAAGTTTGAGGTGACAAAAGAAAGCAATGCAACTTTACAGTACCTCTGCAGGTGAGTGTGTTTGACTGAACTTGTGACAGATGACAAGGGGAAAAAGAACGTTCCTTGCCTGAGGGAGTTTCAATAAACTTGTTTTTCGAGTCCATACAATTTTTCATGAGATATGACCAAACATCCTGGGAACCTTGAGTAGCTTTTGGTTCGTTTTCAGCGCTGAGTCTTGGTCTGGTTTGGGGGGGCATGGGACTGGGGAGTGTGCAGGCTGCTGCAGCTCACCTATCCTGTGACAGAGGTGTACCTGTGCAGCACAGGAAAGCGATATGCCTCATGGGGGTATGAAGGCAGAGCGGGCGGGGAGTGGCCATTAGAGAGCTGGAACTTGACACCCAAACCTATCTGGGTCACTGGTCACATGATCCTGTTCCATCTTTTGGAAGACAGAGACATTCTTTCTCTTTCCGTTTGTCAGTGGAGTCTCTATATTTCTAACCGGAAAAAATTTGAGCCATCAGTGTTTTCATGCATGTCAGCTCCCCAAACTATGATTATCTCATAGAGCAAGAGAAATACCAAAAGAAAAAAAGAAAAAGAAAATCGCTCAAGTTTAGTTCTGTCCAATTCACAAAACAAATTTTATTCTGTCGGAGATGAGAACCTTATTTTATATGATAATATTTGATCTTTTAGGAGTTGGTGGTTCCATTCCACCTGTTCTGCCGTCACATCGGGAATTGTTGGGCTTCCGTAAATAACTTCAGAGTCCGGTCTGACCTGCTCTTTCTGGAAAGCGCTGTGAGATAACTGTTGTTGTGATTTGGCGCCATATAGATAAAATTGAATTGAATTGAATTGAATCGTATTACAGCGTTCTTTTGATATCTCTTGTTTGCATCTTTGAACTCCATTTTCCTTTCCTTTTCCATGCCTCATTTTAATCCTCCCATAGAAATAAACAGCTCGAAATGGGCATCGTAAAGGAATTCTTTGTGTTTGCAAGTGTTACCTCTGAGCTACTTCACCATTTAACATTTTGACCTGCATAAAGTTCCCAACACAGATATGTAATGTAAAATCCTTTTTTACTTCAACAGAGTGTTGGGATATAGAAAGAGCTAATCTAAAAACTGTCTGACAATGAAAACTATATCCTTTTTATAGACTGTTACACCGTTTCCTATTGTCAGAACAACTTTGAAAATAAAGTTGCTGCATTGGGTGCACAGAGAAGAGAAATCATCCATGTTGAGGCCACATAAAAAAAGTTGCACATTGAGGTATTTAGCAGGCGAGGGGAGCTTATCCATGACGGGCACTGTCTTTGGATGCTCATGAAGTGTTTGGAGCCATCTGACAAAATATGGAGGAACCTCCTGGATGGGTTGCCAGTTCATCACAAGGGGATTTAATTCAGTCTTTAGGTTAAAAATATAGTTAATATGTTGCAGTTAATATGCTAGCCCAATTTGATCCAAAACACAGCTCAGTAACAATAGCTTATGGTCTGCTGATGAATATCGTTGGCTTACTGCTAATTTAATAATAAATCTAGGTTCATGAACTTTTAATGCTGACAATAGGTCTATCTCAACTTGTGGAGTGGATTGGGCCGATTGTTTCCCCCACATCTTTAGTTTTCCTTATCTTAATTAAATTAATAAATCATCTGTCCATTGTCCTAACACATTGGTCTATTACAGGGTTGCAGTTGCAATAAATCACTACTATCATCCAGTCATACAGGCAACATCACTCATATTGTTTCTGCTATAAAAAATGATTTAATTAAGCTTGGTCTATTATTTCTATTTGAATGAGAGGTCATTTTTTCTTCCGTTTCATAGTAAAGGGAGTGGCTGGCAGGCCGTAACAGACACAAACACACACTAACACACACACACTCCGGGCTGTGGGGTGTGTGGAGTGTGAGGGAGCAGGAGGCTGAGCACAAGTTGTCACCTTCGTGCCGAACGGCCTCGCCCCGGCCCTGAAATTCCAGCTCCCAGCCATTAAGAGACACCGGGACTAAACTGTTTGTACAGCTCCACTCTCACACGAACACACACACACATGTTCTCACATTAGTCCTGGCTGCAGGCTGCCTCAGGGGAAGTCTGTCACTCACTCAGATCCCAAGGTCACAGCCGCTCATGTGGGAGCTGATCTTAACGGAGAGAAGAAGCTTTACAAAAAACCCGCTCATTTCTGAGGTCCCCGCCTCTATGGCAACCCAGAGAGAGAGGTTCCAGCTCTTTTTACTTGTCGTTTTCACTAATTAAGACACAAATTGATGCAAGGTCATGATGAATGGTGATCGTCTGACGCCCCCTTGCGCACGAGAGGCAACACACCACCTCCCCAAAAAATCCTCCTATTGTCTGCACAAGCCAGTTTCTGCTAATCTATTCATATGAGGGTTATGAAAAAGAGGACACGATGTTCAGCTTCTCTCGTGGAATGTAGCTTTTACTAAATTAAATAAATAAATGAGTGATTTAAAAAAAAAAAAAACACGCCTGAACATTTATTATTTAAAGAAATAACCCGGAGTAAAAAATCTCTCTGTGGTCGTCATCCCGCATCGGTGGAAAGCATGAATGACCGTGATCCTAACAGGCTTTATATTCAGCAGAGTGGGCAGAGGCTTCACAAAGGGGGCTATTGTTGCCTGCAGATGCCCGTCTGTGGTGCAGTCGCTCTTTGAAGGCTCTCCAATCGCAGCGCATAGCGCCACTGGAGGAGGGCGGGGTTTGGTCTCCCCAATCTCTGCTCCAAGCCCCGCTTTGGCACGGCGTCCCACTAACGAGACGGCGACACACCGAGGGTCGGGCTTTGTGTTATCTCCGCGCACGGAGTGCACCGACGACGTGTGGCAGGGTGAGAGTCTGAACTTGAGGAATACATTTTGCGCACCCTGAGGAGGTCAGGGTTTGGACAGGTACGAGACCTGTGGCGCCCGTGGATGGAGGAGTGGCAGATGTTTAGGGGATCGTAATTTTGCACTTCCATACGGGCACCAGGCCTGGCGCGCGCACATGGATGGATGTTATGTAGGAGCCGCACTCATGGAATACAAAGCCCGCGCTGCTGGTGAGCGCGAGTCCGCCCCTCTCCGGGAGCCTCTCCACAGCCTTCTCCTGCTCACACAGCCTCTCCACACGGACATCCCCTGGTCGCTTCGAGTGCCCTCGCCATGAGGGCGACGGCTCGGTGATTCGGTGCATCTGTTTCTTCCACACGGACCGGAGAGACACATCGCACGTCGGGAACGCGTCGGATTGATCTGCGCTCGGCGCGTCCTTTTGTGCCAAAGGGTTCAGCACAGGGTGCGCGTGTTTTGGGGGGGGGCGGGTGGGGGTCAGGGGGGGCTTTAACTTGCGCACAGCAGCTGTCTTTGTGGTCCGGGTCTGGGATGGAGGGCGGCCGGCCGGAGGCGCTGGACCACCCCCCGGAGAACGGCTTCGCCCCTCTGGAGCGGCCGGCCCCCAGGCTGCTGCCGCACATCGACGCGTGCGTCCTGCCGTCCCTGGGGGGGTTCGGGAAGCACCAGAAGCAGCTCGTCTTCCTGACCTGGATACCGGCATTGTTCATCGGATTCAGCCAGTTCTCCGACTACTTCCTCCTGGCGCAGCCCAACGGCACGTGCGTGCAGCCGCTGGGCAACGACACCAACTGGACGGTGGCCCCGTCCCTGCCGGTCACCGTGCCCACCGGAGGAGGCAACGGCACCGCGGAGGAGGAGGACGGCAACGGGCTGCTCTGCGCGTGCAAAGAGTGGAGGCTGGAGCTGCAGACGGGACTCAGCCAGAATGTGGTTACCAAGGTAACGCGGGTGCTACTGTACAGAAAATACACTCTGTTCACCATCATCATCATCTTCATCCTCCTCACCGGCAGCAGGGCTGAGCGTGAAGCGCACCAACAAACACAGCTGAGAGACAAGTCGCCCACTGACCTCAATATGAGCGTGTACCCCGGCGTTATCTCCCCAATTAAGCTGACAGAATCTGTTAAAGATGACCAAATCAAAGCAGCTCAAGGCACGTCGCAGGAATCACTTCAAATAGCAGCAGGGCCAAAAAAAAGAGGGGGAAAATCAGAGCCTGCATTATCAAAAAAATCTACAAAAGATGTATTGAAATGCTCTCTAGTTCTGTATGCCACATGCAGATAGCTACAGAATGATCTGTGCATGTGGGGAATGCATGCATCCTTATTTAAGCCACAGAAAAAATTGGGTTTGACCCAACCAAATTATTCATTCTAAAACCAATTTCATCAACTAATTGAAAGGCCAAACCAGCTTTTTATTTGTGATTCGTTTGAAAAAAAAAAGATGAATATTTTCCCCCCCATTCAGCCATTTTGGATCATTTGTTGTGGTTCAGTCTTTCAAACTACATCCTTTTAAAAAAAATCTGTTTTCTTTGAGGTTTTTTTGTTTGTTTGTTTGTTTTTAGTACGTATATATTCCATTATTGGGCCACCAGAATTGGAATCATTCTACAATAAAGGTGGACCTAGAAGCATTTTAGCACAGGAAAATGATAATCAATGCAAATAGCATTAAGAGCGCCTGTCATGAACATGTATAATAACAAAACCTTGATCATGTGATTGCTAACGATGAATTGGTATGATTATGACACCTTCCACTTAGAGTGAATAGGATCTCCTATCTGTGCCATACAAGCATGAATAACCCGTTTTCTCAGATGACAGTGTTGCTAATGGTCCATACATAATAAATCCATGCTGGCTGAGTTCTCTACATGTGCAGCAGTGGCTATTTAATCACCAAAATAATCAGACAAATCCAGAAACTGTCTGCTGCTCCTCCTCTCTCCTCGCTGCTCATCCGCACAGTTGGGAGCTCAGCAGGGTAACATGCAAATTGTGTTGAAGCACCAACACTATTTTCACGCACAGCTAAATCGGTCCTCCGGGCCCCGGTAGGCAGATTTTGCACAAATAAAGTACACGTCGTGCTTCCACATGTGTCCTTGGCTGCGCTTCAGATGCCGAGCACTGCAGCACCGTGTGCACTGACCCATGGGCTCAGAGGAAAGAGCGGAAAACTATTGATTTCTGTTAGAGTAGACATGCTCGCACATTCCCACACACGCTGCTGTTCCTCTCTGACACACACACACACACACACACGTATGCTTGCTTGTATTTTCTTTAAGACAGAGATTTGAATATTTCAGCCTCAGACTTCATGAATTATCAACACAGTCAGCCAGAATTTGAAAATAGTTTGACAGAATTCCGACTCCCACGTTTCTCTTTGTTTTTATGCAGCTTACATATTGAAAGTGCTGATGTTTAATTCTCTTTCATGTTAGTGTGCATGGCTTACTCCGAACCGTTAACTAATGCTGCTCTCCTGTCTGTTTTGATCTGTTTTAGTGGAACCTGGTGTGTGACTCGGCCTGGAAGGTTCACATTGCCAAGTTCTCTTTGCTTGTGGGCTCCATATTTGGCTACCTGGTGATGGGTGTCATGGCCGACTGGTACGCTGCCTCCTCCTTTTCTGTTTCGATAAAAGTCTTGAAACTCAAACTCCTGATTTTACACCAAAAATTCAAATTTTCCATCTTTAAAAATGTTGTAATAAAACAAGCCCTCATGAGACCAGGGATTCAACCGTTAAGAATGACACCAATAGGGTGAACTTTAACCCACATAGGCCGTGTTCTCATAGCAGTAATGTCTCAAAAAATCATGCAATCTAAAAGAAAGGACTACTCAGTTTTCTGAGTTGACCTCCTATGCTGAGCTGCATCGTGGGAAAAAAAGCCCCTGCATTGTTTGTTGGATCAGTGACAATGGAAACTATGTAAAGAAATAAGCATGCATCGGCTCTGACCTGACCCCCTGACCCACTGACCCCCCTTACAACAGGAAGACCGCAGAGTCTGAGGAAGACAATGAAGCGGAATGATCTCTGTCACCTGACTCTCTGAGTTTTGTCTCTGTCTCTGTTTCTAAGGTTTGGCCGCCACCCTGTTTTGATCCTCTCGGTGCTTTTCATGCTGGTGTTCGGTCTGACTGTCGCCTTCTCTGTAAATGTCACCATGTTCAGCACCTTGCGCTTCTTTGAGGGTTTCTGCTTGGCGGGCCTCGCTCTTTCCCTCTACGTGCTCAGTAAGTACACTCTTTCACTTCCCAGCTGCCGCCCGTTTGCTTTCTGCTTCCTGTCTGTGCTGCAGCTTCGCTGGTTCTTGCTCCCGTGTCAGGATTAGCTGTCGGGTGAAATCTGGTGGAAACACTGGAAACATTGTAGTGATGAGGAGACCCTCTGTGCAGTCTTGTACATCCTTTTTTTTAACCGTAACTTAATAACAGTTACAGCTGTTACTCTTCGTGGTAAATGGGTTATTTGTGCATCACAGGCAAGGCTCTCAGCTGTTGCTGCAACTGGATAACTTTCTGATCACTGCAATGGTTCCTTCCCATTGGAAAAATTTGCCCTTGATCTAATATGGCGGCTTTAAGATGCCCACCCCCTCACTCATTGCCAGGGTGTTTGGATTCTAAAATGTTTTCTTTCTTTCTCAAATGAAAAGGTTCCCTGTGACTTTTGATTCACCCTATACTTTAACATTTACTAAAAGTTTAGAAATTGTGGAGATCTCAGAAGTTATGGGACAAATGAGCAGAGTTTCTTTACTTTTTAAACTCCTAAAACATCACAGTGTCCAGAGGTCTTCTATGCTGGATATCTTACTTAATATCACTTAATATCACAGGCAATAATTAGAAATGTGAGGTATTTTTGGGGTTTTCTGGAAGTTTGTAACCTCGGGGGTAAAGTTATACCATCCAAAGTGGTCCATCTGTCTTTGAGGGTTCAGCAGAAGAATGAAAGAATCACTGGCCACAATGTTTTTTTTTCCAGACTTTGTCCTCACCTCCCTCTGTAATCTCCACCGCCCCCTCTCATTCTCACCCACTGTGGGCCTCTTTTCTCTTTCAGGACAAAGCGAGATTAGTCATACATTATTCCCGAAGCTCAGCAGACTTGAGCCAGGACAGTAGGGTGGGTTTCTCCCCCTTAAAAAGGGCTCCCTAATAAATCTCAAATGCCCTGTTCTTAACAGCAAACAAACAAAATGGACCCTCTGCCAAGAAACTCTTCCGAATTTGATTTGATTTGTGATGTAAACAAAAGCAAATTAGGCACACATAATGTTGGGTTTTGGTCACGAGCAGATAGCTGGGACTGTGGGAGTAAATGTAATATGAAAGTAAAATAAATTAAGATAACACACCAGAACAGTTAGGGTGAATTGAGATTAATCTGACAGATTTCAGAACGGAAACACATTTTCAGATTTTCTCCCCGCCCTTTCCGTGCTGCAAATCTGAATATTTCCATACATAAACTTTAGGAAAAGGGCATCATTTTGATTTATCAAAGACTATTAAAGTGGTTCCTCCTATGATGCCGCTTTGTAAAACTACGTGCTTGCTTTTTTTTTGTATAATCCCATACTGGATGGTGTAAATGCAGCTCCTCTTTTCTGTTGTGTCTTTGAGTTTTCACACACTTTGATGCTCAAACATTCAGACTATTTAAAAAACGACCAGTGTGTGGTATGTGTTAGCTGCTTTTGCACTTTAAAGTGCAAACCAAAAGGTGTTTGTTGGCTGTGTGAGGTGTGTGTGCACACATTAGGATGGGCTTCTTTCTCTTTGAGGAGAATTCCTTCTACGGCAGTAGATAATAACTGCTGTCATGTAGCAGCTGAAACATCCAGAGATGGCGGTGGATGTTACATTTAGCTCCGCTCTCTCCTGGTGTTGTTTTCCAGAGGAGGTCACGCTGCAGGACAGAAATGACACGGTCGATCAATGTTTTAGTAGAGACTCACGACTGTGTTGGGATGACATTATTCCAGTACATTGGATTTTAAATGGGACAAAATGACTATAGGGTCAAAGTTCTGTACTTTGATATTGAATGAGCTCTTTTTTATACACAAGTCCCCAAATGTTACACCAGAATAGCAGCACAGTGCACCCAGCTTTAGCCTCATTTAATCACATTTTGTCTCAGTTTGAAAGGTAAAAAAAAAAAACGAATTATAGCTTTAAAGTACACTATATGACACCCTGTACTCTCTCTAAAGTGCAGAGAATGGAAGAGCCTCATGTTAATAGTTATTAAAGAGAGACAGAGAGTCAAAACTCCAATAAGTAACCCTTTAAATGATGTAAAAATGACATTTGTGAAATGTACTCACTTTTGCCACATTAAAAATACAATTAGATGTTGTGGGAGAAAGTTCTTGAATGTTTTCAGTACAAATACTTTTATCAGTAATTGTATTCTGGTCCCATTGGTATGAAGTTGGATGATGGTAAAGTTAAAATCAGTCAAGCTGTAATTTAACCTTAACTGTGTACACAATCATGCTGGTTGTGCAACAGTTCCTGTCTAAAAGTCCTTCTCCCACTGTCTCAAGTAAAGTGGATCCATACTTAAAAGCTAGATTACGAGTTAAGGAGTAAAAAGCAGTTCCTGCATCAGACCTCTTTTTATCAGCTGTCACCATCAGATACAAGTCCACCAGTAGAGTGTTTATTATTCATCACAAAACAGCATCCACAAATACTAATCAGTCCACTTTTTTCTCTTTTTACACTGCTTAACTTTAAATAGAGGTCTTTAGTTCTTACTGAGATTCGTAATCAGTCTCCGATCTGGGCGGTAGCCCCTGAGATCTGACGTGTTCAGGATGAGTCGAGATCGGGGAATGTGGGAACATCACATAAAAGATGTTCTGCAGGGAGAGAGACAGAAGATCACACTGGCTGTAAATCTTATCTTTGATGGGAAAGGAAAAAGAAATCTGAGACCAAAATGCTTACAGGATTTTGCCCCCTGTACCGTCTCTAGCCTTTACTGTAATGTATAATGGAGCACATTATGTTATTGTACAGTACATTTACTCCTTGTTTTGAATATATCACTGCATACTAGTGTGTAAAAATCTGAAAATTTACTACATAAATAGGGGAAAAAATTACAAATCTTAGTTTGCTAAGCATAAAAGAAAGCAAGAACTGGGTGATTTCAGCTTGAGGAGAGAAGACTCATGCTTGGAGCCAGAAGAGCTTGTTTCCTTGTATTTTCAGTGGAAAGAACAGAATGATTAGAAAGGCTACAGAGAGCACCTGAGGAGGCTTTAAAAGGTGTGGGAGGACCTAAGATAAACTCCAGAGCCAGAATGTTGAAGGCTTTTCAGATAAAGACAAAGAATTTTGGCTCAATTCTAAACTTTTTCAGATAAAGACAAATAATTTTGGCTCAATTCTAAACTGATAAGATGCAGTTATTATGGAGAGTTATCCAAATTTTATGTGGAAAATGTAGCCAAAAAGACAACAATAACAGTTATTTTACCTGGATTTTGGTCATGCGAGTAGATAGATTAGTTTTCTTGTTAGTATCTTTTTCGTGCTACACTCTTTAAGAAGCTGTGTGTGAAAAGTACCAGATGCATACACCCATTACTGACCTTACTCTCCCAGAGGAAAACACTTTAAGCCTACATTTGAATCCAAAACTCATGCTTTCAGATTCTTACAGCTGTACTGTTATGAACTGATGCTGAAGCACATCTGGAATACAATGATGTTTGACTGTTGAGTGGTAACCAGGCTGCTGGAGGAAGGAGACGGCATGGAGAATTGAAACAAGAAGGACTTAGCATGTGTGGACTGTATTATGGATGAATACACAGTATTTATATGTGTGCTGCTTTTTCTGCATTATCTGTCTATCCTGCCACACTGCCCGTGTAAATCCAGCACTAAGTGTCTGTTTCTAAATCCAGCACCTCTCTGGCTCTCTGGATCCTACCTCAATGCTTCCTCGTGTCCCATTCATCCCCCCCTCCTCTTCCTCCTGCTGCTGTACCATTTCATTACCACCAGCACTCACAGCCTCGGCTTGCTCATTTTCGGAGGCTTATTTAAAATCTCTCATCATTTTGTTATCTCTCTGCGGCACACTGCATAATAAACTCCACTGGCGCAGCCAGGAGAACCTTCAGTTTGCTCTACACTATAATTAGTTTGTGTGCGTGCTCTGCTAATATTTGGTCGTTGTACCTGCTATGCACAGACTTTCTTTTTTGTAAAGTTGCGCCTAAATCTTGACTGTTTTTTTTTTCAGGATAGACTGTTGACGATAGACTGAATAAGCTCAGGGACTGTTGTCCTTGAGCTTATTCCTTCTTTTGAAGACAAATTGCTGGACATGATCCCATCAAAGAAAAACATCTGCCTTGTGAAATGTTAGAAGCTTTGAACTCGTCTCCAATCTACTGAATTCTTTGTTTTAGCGCAGAAGTTTTCAAAGCAGGGGCCTTCCAAAAGGGGCATCACTGAATAGAAGAGAACCTTATATAAGTTTTGAATTAGTCATCAAAAGGACATCCCATTTAATAGCCTCAATATATCATATTCGTTAAGATATAGTCCAAACAATAAGAAACACAAAACAAATGCATACACATAAAAAATTCTTTCTTAAATTAATCACAAACAGCATCCAAAATTATGCGGTATTTGACTAAGAGAAATCTAAGTTAATTTGTTGACAGCTGAGGAAAGTCCCAAGAGAAACATCAAGAGAAACTCTCTGAAAACCTCAGATTTAAATGAAGAAAAGCAAAGAAACCGAGCTAATCTAAATTAAGATAAGCTATGCTACGCTAAACGAAGATAACATAAACTGTTACACAATACTAATATAAACTGAAATAAGTTAAGATAAGATAAAACAAGTTACGATAAGATGAAAAAAAGATGAGCTATACTACATAAGGCTAAAGTAAGTAAGGTATTACTGAGTAAAAATGTATGTCAGTATAAAATAATACCGATAAAAGTTTGCTCTTTTATCGATAGTTGATTATATTTAAGTCAATCGTGCCTCAGATCTTTGTTCCTGTATCTCAAAGTCTAAAAGTTGATGTCAAAGACAAACAGTATATTGTGTGTAAATGTGTGTGTTGCTGTGACCTAAAGGGGATGACTCCTGCTGTCACTCTGTGCTCATTTAAATCTTTTAAGCCATTAAGTCATCATCGAGCCTTAAAACTCAAGGACCACAGCCGTTCACTATTTTTGTTGGTGTGATAATGACCTTGTTTGGCTTATTTTCTCTGAGGATTGGTCCAAATCTCAGTGGAATGGAGGGTGAAATATAGCATCTGGAAGCAGACTAAGCAGCTGCTTAGGACCCTCAGGAGCATTTAAGATTATTTCAAATTATTTTAAGTCTTTTTCTTTTGCATATGTGAGTAATGATTCCTGATATCAAAGGGATCTTTTTTGTTAAAAAGCACAATTTCTGTCAACAGAGGCCAAGTGATTCCTATTTCCTGTAGGAAGTCAACTACTTCTATTTCCTTCTTGTTCTTCTTATTCTGCGGTTGCAGGCTGTCAGCGGATGTACTTCCCCTGCTTATGAAACGAAGCATCACACCTTCCCGCTCTCTTTAAGCACGTTGTAAACGCTGGAATGGGCACTTTGTGTGAAGCATCACTCTGATCTGATGGAGCTGTGTAATTTGATCAATAGATAAATGGTACGGCTGATCATTTGGTATAGATTGGCCTATTGTTAAATCAATCATTTAGCACCAAAGCTAAAGTGCGGATCATCACGGGCATTAACACAGTCTGTGGTTCTGTCTCTGAACTCCTGCTGTCAGAAAGCCAATACCGTCTCCCCTCTGTCCTCGTGCCCCAGGCGAATGCACGGCTCAAAGCGGGTGTGTGGCAGAGCCGTCATCAAATACGCGTTGTACTGTTAGATCATCTGCTTTTTGCCTTGCTCTTCCTTCCCCCCAGTAGTTGTTGTTCTGTGGAGCTTCTGCAACTGCTCACTTTCAGATGCAAAGTCAGAGGAGAGGCTGCTCAGGGAAAGGAGGGGGGACGAGGTGGGGAGAAGGTGGGGGATGGTAGCTTTACAGTGGGAAAGAGCCACTTCAGAGTAAGGGAAGAGGTGGGGCGCGATGGGGGAGTGAGGGGAGAACGGCTCATGGGGGCGGCGGCGGGGGGTGAGGGGGGTAGGAGGGGGGGGGATAATCAGCACAAGAAGAGCCATTCTCCCTCTCAGCTGGAACAAAAGGTCCCTGCCAGTGTGAGATACTGTGTGTGTGTGTTTTGATATTACAACAGAGTCAGTGAGATCAGACACCTCCCCAGAGAGCTGGGGAGGGGTTTTTGTTTTGCTGCTTTGGGACACATGGCCTTTGCTCAGGTACTTTTGATTTAGCCTGTCTGTGTCTGGGGTTTAACCCAGGTCTGTGACCGCTGTGTACAGTTGGCTGACAAATACGAAATGTGGCTATGAACTTGTGAGAGAGTTCTTTAAGTAAACCACTCATGAGTTTTTCATACTCATTTACACTTATGTTCACACATAAATGTACAAACGTAGATTCAGTCTTATTGTGTTTTTATTTTACCCAGCGTCCCAACTCTTTTTAAATCGGTTCAAAGAGCTGTGAACACTGCTTCCATCACTCAACTGTATAAAGGTGAAGGATTACCACTCAGTATGATTTCCCTTCCTAGTTTTGGTACCTGCAGGGGAGATTTTTAGAGTAGAACAGAAGCAGAGTGACAGGGATTTTTTCCCACAGCTTGCCAGCTCTTTCTCTAAAACTAAAAATGTCCTTTCTTTCTTTTATCAACGAGTCCTAGCTATGCCATTTCTTTCCTCTTCTTCCCTCTTTCTTATTTGGCTTTTCCCCTTCTCTTTATTACAATTCCTCACGTGATTCCACTGATGAATAGATGGACTTTTTGTCGCCTTCTGAGGGAGAAGTAATTAGTATTCTGCTCCTTCACTGCTTGTCCCCACCCCTCCCTCCTTTTCCTTCCCCACAATAATAAGTGTCCGTACAAGTTACTGTATCCCTCCTCCCTCCTCAACCGCCCACAATTATCACCTTCAAGAGGACCTTGCCATATGGACCGGGCCATCTGGACTGTACCATATTACGGGCAGTAAGGGAGGGATGGGAGCACAGTCAGGGGGGAAATTAAAAGACAATCCAGGCAAAATGCTCCAAGAGCCTGCTGAACCCCCTCAAACGCATTAATGTGAACTCTATTCAAAGTTCATCAAGAGCACCACTATTAAACAAGGGAGCACTCAGGGGAACGATTGACCATAGGAGTCATCAATAATTCAGAGGAAATTCAATACCATTAAACAAACACATACATCACCATCTTTCAGGCCACTAAAGAAGCTGTTAGGTTGAGAAATGGTGCTATTTCAAACAGTTTATACATGATTTACTCTTCTGTCACGCTGCGGCAACATAACAATCTATATTTTTCCGTGTACTAAAATCCTCCTCTTGCTTCTCGCTGTGTCTCTTTATTTAGGGATCGAGCTTTGTTTGCCAGGCTGGCGATTTTCCATGACCATGGTGGCCAGTTTTCTGAAGGTGGGCGGGCAGCTACTGATGCCAGGGGTGGCTGCTCTGTGCCGTCATTGGCCCAACCGAGATGACTGGCAGGTGCTGCAGATAGTCATAATCAGCCCCTTCGTTCTGATGCTGCCCTATATCTGGTGAGTCCCACCCCCAGCATGGGGGAGCCGTTTCTTCTCACACTGAGCCAGGCGATGGCTTGTACAGTACACTGAGCCCTACACAGTACTAAACACTCCTCGCTTCATCTTGAGAACAATACTCCCATTCTACGGCCGTTTTCTTCTTCCTTCTCTGTCTCCTTCTTGCTCAACATGCTCTCACCCTTTGTCTTTTTTCTCTGTGTCCTCCCTGTCATTTTCTCTCCCCCCCCCTCCTCCCGGTTCAGGATTTTTCCCGAATCGCTGCGCTGGTTGCTGGCCACCCAGCACTACAGGCGGTCCAAAGCCATGATGCTGCGCATTGCCCGAAAGAACCAGGTTGATATGACAACGGAGCCCAGTGGCGTTCTTACAGGTGAGAACAGACTCACAAGGCAGAATAAACCAATCCCTTTTTTTTTTTTGCTGCTTTACTCGCCTCATTAAGCAAATTATTTAAACCATCCGCCGCACGTTACGTGGCAGTTTCCTCCTGCTGTGTGATGAAATGAACATGCAACAGATACAAAGACCCTGAGTGCCCAAGTTTTCCAGCATCACTTCTCAGAATGCACACATGACGAAATGCACCCGCAATCAACGCGTTTACCTTCACGGCGTCGAGGGTTTTGTTGTCTTGTGAGATCAATCAAACCAGAATACCAGTGATAAATTCTCTCGTTGTTAATGATCACATTTGTCTGTCAGCTGTAGAAAATGTGAAAGCACATATCGTGAGTGCTGAACACTCCGTTTAAATGACTTGCTTAGTCCGTCTAGCAACAGTAAAACGTAAAGAATTTAGTATAAAGTGGCATTTGTTTCTCCTTAGATCACAATAGCTCCTTGTTGTGAAGCGGCATAACAGCTGAAAGACTTCACACTTTCCTCACACCTTCCTCCTCATGCTTTCAGTCTACCTCAGAAACCGGCCAGATAGATCATGGCAGACAGTGAATTGATGTCCCATATCAATCTAAAGGCACCAGAGCACTTCCTCTCTGTGCTAAAAGGTCCCTTGCCGTCCGGCCTCTCATTAACTTCTCAAGGTATGCGTTTCGTGTTTCCTACCAGAGCTGGAGCAGGAGCTGCACAAGAAACCCCAGAGGAGCTGCATTGTCAAGATGATGAGCACCAGGAACCTGTGGAAAAACATCGTGGTGCTGTGTGTCAACTCGTAAGTGTGTTGCGTCCGTGGCCGGTGGGCCAACGTCCACTGTGTGTGCGGCGTGCTGACCCGTGCTGACCCGTGCTGACCCGTGCCTCCGTGTGTTGTCTGTGCAGCCTGACAGGTTACGGGATTCACCACTGCTTCTCCCGGAGTATGATGGACCCGGAGGCCCAGCCCACGGCTTTGTGCCACGCCGACTATTACACCATGGCGGGCATCGCCGTGGCAACCTGCCTGGCCCTCTGCCCCGCTGTGGGGTTGATGGGTCGTCGGGGCGGGCTGCTCACTTTCATGATCATTACGGCCCTGGCTTCACTACTTCAGCTGGGGCTGCTGAATTGTGAGTAATCACAAACAAAACATGTCTGAATTTTTTTTTAAAAAGCTTGACGGGCCCTCCTTTTTGGCCTGGAAACTGCAAGCAATACAAATTGGAGCCACTATCTTACTCTTAGCCAACATACTAGTTAGTTATCCTACTTTAAAAATTAATGGTCATTTCAAGCTTGCTACTTTCTTTCTGAGAACATTTTGCACCTGTTTTTAGTTTTTGAAAGGACAAAATGAGAACTTTTTTTTAATGATGGGGATTAATAATTTATTTCCAGGCTCTTTGCTTAACTGACACTTTGAATGTTCTCCTGCATTATAAACATGCTTCACATAAATAATTTGTTGATGTACCCCACCTTTGAACCTGTAACACCTATGACTCTGAACATGCTAGAGGGGGTATAAGAAAATGTATAAAATGTTAATGAATGGCTTCAGAGAGTCATTAAAACAGTTAAGGAAACCGTCATCTCTGTAAAGCAGAAATTCTAGCTAACATTGCACGCTGCCATTAAAACAGCACAAACTGTAATTGAACCTTCGGTGTAATAGAGCCTCCCCTCATTCTGCCTTTCTGACCTACATCTGCAGTTTGTAATCATTAGCTCAGGCTCAAGACTTTAACCGTTCCCATTTTCTGGAAGGCTTTTCTTTTTATTTATTCGTTTGAGTCAGCAATGTTCTGCCCTTAACTAATGACATGCTCCATTTCTTTTACCCTCCAATGCTCGCATGTGGAATCCAGTGATTGGAAAGTACAGCCTTCGCCATGACACAGGTATGTCAGCGGTTTTCTGCTCCGTTCCTCCACAGAGCAGTGGATAAAAACAGTCATCTTCTACGCTGATTTGAGGACCAGTTTGATTTGATGGCCTTTGGCTTCTGTTTGTGTTGTTGCTCTCCCCACAATGCGGATGTTGTCTTGTCTCTTTCCCGAACAGTTCTGCGAGACACTCTGAACAGGAAATTCTCGGTAGCCTTCTCCATCATCGGCATGTTCTCCTCTCACGCCGTCAGCACGCTCAGCATTTTCTTTTGTGCTGAAATCACTCCTACTGTGATTAGGTGAGCCGGCGTGTTCATGAATAACTGCCTGCTGTGTGGTTTCCTGCTAGTACAGAAGGTTAAATATGATTTATCTCAGGTACTGAGGTTGATATTTCACATGCGTAAAAGAATTAGTCTCTGATGATGGTGCTTGTGGTCAAGTAGCCAAACGGCTCCATCTTGTGGCTCAGATGTCACTCACAGAAGAGCTGTTATTCAACTCAGAATAGCGAAAACCATAGATTCAGTCTGGCCGTCTCTCCGCACAGGGGTGGAGGTCTGGGCCTGGTGCTGGCCAGCGCCGGCTTCGGGATGCTGACCGCCCCCATCATGGAGCTCCACAACCAGAAGGGCTACTTCCTGCACCACGTGATCTTCGCCTGCTGCACGCTGCTGTGCATCATCTGCCTGCTGCTGCTGCCGGAGCCGCGCGGCCACCCGCTGCCCGAGAGCCTGGCCGACGGCGAGAGCTTCACCCGCCGGACGCTGCTGCTGCACCCGGGCGAGCAGCACCTCCTGCTCACCAAGTGCGACAAGGACTACTCCCGCGTCCACGACACGCCGCTGCACCTCACCGCCACCGGCGGGGCCACCGTGGCGGCGGCCACCGCTCTGGCAGCGGTGCCGGCCTCCTACGCGCTGGCCACCGGAGGGGAGGTCATCGGGAACTGCGCCATAGCCAACGGGGTGTGAGCGCCACAGCAATAGTCCTTTACCTTTACCGTGCTAGTGATTGCTGCAAGATTAACCAGACCCACGAAAACTTTTAGAAAGGGAAAGGGGGGGTGGGGGGGAATTCGGATGAACCAGATGAACTCTTGTTGTAGTGAGGTTTGACATGATGACGGTGATAGTGAATTTCTGTACCTTGTATAGACAACGATTCATCCGGGAGTTGCCAAAAAATACGATTCTATAGGACCACGTTTTTTGAAGTCGGTGTGCGTTGAATAATTGGAGCGTCTTCTGTGGTGTTGGTGGTTTTTCTCGTGCTGCAGAAAAAACGGGCGGGCACAGGGAGGAGTCGGAGGATTAACCGAGTGCCCCGTGAGTTTTCTGTGTGTAGTTTGGACTTGCTGAAACAGGATTTCGCAGCATATCTGGAGTCTTTCTAAGTTATTTTGCACTAAATGTCAAAGACACAATCAAGCGTTTGTGAGTTGAAGCCAACACGTTGGAGATCCAGGGTTTGGCTGAAACACTACCACTATTTTTGCATGAAAGGGCACAAATTATTATTACGGTTTCCTTCTTCAGTTGCGGTCTCTAAACAAAGTCACTTTATCCTCAGAGTTGAGGTCAGTGTGGACGCTGATTTTGAAGTAAACAGTGCTTCTGCTGTGGTGTATGATGGAGGTCAGACCAACAGCCGGACCCCACAGCAGACTGTACAGAGTGAGTCAACAGCCACAGGACAACTTTGTATTCAAGAAACAAAAGGGATAATGACATATCTGAACACACAAAAGCCTTTATCGAGCCACCCTGAAAGCCGCCATATTGGATTGAGGGCAAGTTTTTCCTATGAGAGGGTACATATCAAAGACCAGGATTGCCTCATTATGGGAAATTGTTTCCAATAATCAGATTTGAAATATCTATTGTGGTTCAAAAGTGATGCACACCTATTTGACTTCATAGTAAATGGCTAATTCGTGCATCACAGGCAATGTTTTCAGCCGTTGTTGAAACCAGATATGTTTTTAACCACAAGAGACTTTTACAATATGATGACGGAAACGGATTTCTGAGACACTTCCACTGTTCTTTGATATGCTACATGACCACCTTCCAACCGGAAAAACTTGATTCAAGATGGCAGCCATGTTCCGGACATAGCCTTAAAGATCGGCCTCCTCACCCATTAACCAGCTGGATGTTCAGATGGATGATTTTCCCTTCAGTTTCTTTAATAAAATGGTGTCCCGTGACTGTTGGCGCATCCTGTACGTATTGCTTTTAGAGACTAGTGATAAAATAATTCTGAGAGCTGAATGGACATTAGATGGGCCTGTTGGTCAGTGTTCTGCTGAATGTCTTATGATGCATCTTAGTATTTTAATGGCTTTATCATAACGGCTCTGTGCTTTTAACAAAACAGAGGCAAAAAGTAATTAATGAAATCCAGTATTTATTTTGTAATGCTGCCAAGAGCAATTGTTTTGCTTGAAATACCTCCTTTATTTCCACTCCAGCTCTCAGTCCTTGTTCTCAGTACTAGTGTAATGTTGTTCTCCTGCTCCTCAGATCTGTAACTATAGCTACAAAAGCACAATATTTCACTGTTATTTTAAGATATAAAAGTTTGTGAAGATTAGAATAGAGCAGTATAGACACAGCCTCGTCGTGACAAGTGTATATTCATACCGTTTCCCTTAGGACTGCATAAAAATGTAAGGTATTTGTACATGTTCCATTCATTCATTCATAATGTATGGAGCACAACCTTCCTAGAGTCTGAAGCACAACAAATAGAAACCATCTCATGAATAATTTCCCTCATACAACAGGTCCAAACATACATTTTTTAAATCCATATTTACTCCATAGCACATGTATAAAATGCCCTGTATGGTTTCGTAGTTCCTCTTTCAACATTCAAACAAAAAAAACAAAAAAAGAATGAAAAACTCAACCACTAACGCTGTTTTCTAAGTGTTATTTTTTTAATAAGATGCATTTGTACAAAAAGCCATAGGCCTACATGTTTTGATAATAAACCACTTAATTTATTATGTCAATAAAAGGTCACTCCATGTGAATGTTTGTCCTGGTTTTTGTGCGTCAGTGTGGATGATGAAGAGGAGGCTGTGCTGCTTTCAGAGGAGTTTAGAAGTGCTCAGGGTGAAGTTCCAGCTCCTTCTTGATGCGGTTTTCCACCAACAGGGTGAGGCTGGAGTCTGTCGTTGGAAGACTGTAACTCACAAATACTTGTTTTTTGGTCCTCTTTGCTGAAAAACAGAAGAAAAAAAAGAAGAGTCGTATTTAAATTTGGGTGAGTTATAGTTTAATATGACTCAAACATCCAGTTCTGGGGATCAAAGATCATTATTTAAAAGTAAATCTATTTAGATAACATTTAAATCAAAATGTATCTCAATATACTAAGGACTAAATAATGTAGAATTAAAATATTCAAAACTAAATGTTACATCTAAATATAGTTTTGAAATGTTATTATTGTATCCAAATTTTTCATTTGAATATTTTAATCATTTTTATATCGAAATATATTCAATAAATAAATTCTGAATTTAAATTTGTATAAATGTTTAGAAACTATGATAATTCAGCTGTTCCTATTCCTATATGAATATAGAATTCACCCTATTTAGAGTAAGAGTTCGTTCCTCAAAGGTATGAAAACTACATTAAATATCGGTCACTATTGGCAGTAACAGCAACAAAAACCGTTATGTAGCTCTAACATTCGAAGAAGAAGAGCCTGTAACATCAGACCAGAGCTTCCATCACTTCAGTTCGAGCAGACAGGTTGTAGAGAGGTGAATCTTACCTAATCTTTGTGCCAAAGAATTTGCAGCCGTATCAGACGGGTCCCCCATCAATAACGATGACAAGGGTGTTGAATCCTACACAGGAAAAAAGAAAAACAATCATCCTCCACTGATTTGTGGTTTAGAAGTCTTAGGTATCTTAAATTCTGTTGATTTGACTAATATAAAAACATAAAGCACAATTCAACAGAACAGAAAACACAAAAATCAACCCTTCACATTATATAAGATGGAGCCTGTAAAGACCGAGCTAATTCTATTGAAAAATAACCAAAAAACTGTTTCACAAAGTAAGAAAGCTGCTTACGGCAATTCTCAAGACCATGAACTCCTTTGTGAGACATTATTTTACAATTTTTTTACTATGTTATCACAGTCAAAATGGAAAGTGGAGAACTTTTATTGCATGATGGAGTGCTGCTTTGTTCTCTGCACATTATCTTGCTCTTTTTTCAGCAGTCAGTAAACAATTGAATCAATACGAGACTAATTGAATACAGTACTCAGATAAATATTTCCTGTAAAGCTTCAGGGTGCTATCATTGAGTCTGACATATAGTATGGTCAAATATTGACTTTATGTTTTGTATAATTTGTAATTCAATAGACGTATTACAGACTTAGAGTAAAGAATAGGATAGATTATATAATTCCTATGTCATTTATGAACGATTTTGTACTAAAATTGAAAAAGGTGCACATATAACAAAATATAATGTTACATATGAGACATAGGTCAAAAAAGAAACAGGATATCGGATAACTGGCTCTGATTCTGTAATTTCCTTTAAAATATGAAATACTGAAAGCATCAATAGAACAGAAAAGGTGAATATAAGCATCTTTTTCCCTTTAAAAGACACAAAGTGCTGTTTAATGTTCATTAAATAAAAGATTTATAATCATTCACATCGACCCAGGAGGAGGACTGAGGCTGAGTGGAGTTTGTTAGCTCACATATCTGCTGCTCATGGACACCGCCAGGTTGGACAGAACCGGGGCCGAACCGACCCACAGGAAGAACCCTCCGCTGAGCCTCATCACGTGGAAGTGGACGGTCTGCTCCATAATTCTTTCGGAAAAATTGTGCAATGTAAGGCCGCTGAATCCGTCTCCATTGTGCAGTTGGTTCATTTTCAGCTTCTGCGTGAAGCTCGTGCTAACCGTAAACACAGACGGCTACTTCCGGTTTTGAGGCAGGCTGCAGGCCGAAGCAGTCGATGCACGATGCCATCACATCGAGCAGCGCCGTTGGTTTGACAATTTGATGGACCAACTCAAACTAGTATGTGTCCAAAATTAATCACAACCGATCGTGTTAAGCTACATATGTGCCATTTTTAGTATTTCCTGTGTTATTTTGCATGTGTATACCGTCAAACTGTTAAATGGCAACTAAATTCCCACCTCAGTTTATTTCTATGACGTCAATCAATTAATAGACCTGATTTTATTTTAAATGTCATTTTTCGATTTTACGTTTATTTCTCAAAGTAAAATATTGCATGAATAATAATTCATTGTCACAAAATATGGTATAATATCATCCTTGTGTATAAAATTAGGCCTGAAACTTACTGAACAGCTAAATGACCAAGGTAGCATTCAAAAGTATCTTTTTCTTTTAAGGTGAGTCTTCTATGCGTGATTTTAGTATTTAATTGAAAAACTACAAAACACTGAGTTATTCAATCGCGTACAAAATCATTCACTGATTATTTATTCTTCTAGAAAGTCTTCCACCAGTCGGTTGAATTCATCAGCGTATCTCAGGTGGAGGTTGTGTTTTCCCTCCGGCATTACATGTAACCTGCGTTTGGGAGAAAATGACTTTAGCTCATGTTGAACATTGAAACTGGGTTTGGTGTGAGGGCTTGATCTCACCGTGATCCTTTGATGTGTTTGAGGAGATGCTGAGCGTGGAAGCTGGGCACCATGGGGTCCTTCTCCCCATGGATGATGAGGGTTGGGCAGCTGATCAGGGGAAGAAGCTCCATGCAGATACTTCCTGTTCATTAATAAAATATCAGCATGAGGTTTCCTCTGCAACTTTGGACAACTTGTTCTATGAGTAGTTATAACACTTCATTCTTTGTACTTTTGCTTGATTTATTTATGAGGAAGATTTAACTGAAATGATCTGTAATCAGTACATGCTCCTTGTTCTGGTTTTGTCCTTAAAAGCCTCCCTTACATGACTGAGTTCCACCAGTCAGAGCTGTATTACACCATCCATTCCAAAAATTAATGTAAAATTTGTTGGAAACCAGCCGACTAAAACAGACCTTCTGGTCTTTGGGCAAACTGTGCAATTGCATCCACCCAGCCCTCCCAGGTTTTAGCGAAGAGGTGCGCTCCGTACACCTCCTCCATGGGCTGCCTCATCCTCGCACTCCACTTGGAGACATCACGGACCACTACGTGTTCCCAAAAAGAAAAGGAAAAAAATAAAATCACTCACAGGATACACTGTTCTGAAAGCTGCATCTTGTTCATATAAAATAGTCTCTAATGAGCGGAGTACTGTTGTAAAGCCTGAGGTCCTCCTGGGAAACAAAAGCATTGGAGCCCCAGACGACCATTTTGTGGATCAGGTCCGGGTTCTTTGCCGCTGCAATCAGGGCGGTGATTCCTCCATCGCTCCAACCCAGCAGAGAAAACTTGTGAAAGCCCAGCGCCTGCAAGAGAAATAACCCGTTTTCTTACTAAATCAGAATGCAATCACTTGAGAATTCATCACGTCTGAATTTAACTGGATTTTTTAAAGGAAATATTTGTAGATTTCAGCATCCTTCTTACAAGAGCAAACAGAAGAGACATAGCTGTAGACCCTGAAAACACAGTTAGGCTTCCACTAACAGATTGATGCATTCTGATCAGCTTTGACCGATCGGAGTGTGAAGGTTTGCCGACTCAGCGCCACGTCAGCAGAGCAGGAAAACTGACCCCCAGATTCGGAGCTCTATAAAAACCAGAGGACGGCAGGAGCTCTGAGCTATTGAGCATTTGTTGTCCAAAGTCTCTGAGCAGCACTTACAGAAAGTTGGTGAAACAAGCGGGTGATAAAGATGCTGCTGTCCCTTCCTTTAAAGCGGGGGGTGTCACACTTTACGATGTGTCCCTGCTTTAACATGCCTGATTCAAATCAGTGTCTTTACAATGATATCGGTCATAAAAACTCATCTTTATGAATGCCTGATAAGAATAACTATCAGCTACCAGTGCTGAAATGACTAAATAAATTAGGGGTAAAAAGGGCAAGTTCTCAGTTCCTTTCCGTCCCATGACCCTGATTTGTGGGTAAACGTCTACAGACCTTCATCAGGTCGACGGCGTCCTTTGCATCCCTCTCAAAGAAGTCGGGGGGGAAGTCTCGGTGGGGGGGACGGGACCTCCCGTAGCCGCGGGGGTCCCAGCCCACCACAGTGAAACTCTCTTTGTTCAGAGACCTCAGCTGGGGGCCAAAGTCTGTCCTCGTGCTCCCTGAGGGTCAGACACAGGAACCAGTCTTAAAAAAACATGATTTCAGGTGTTTTCTGGCTCAGACACATTCAGTAAAAGGCGTGCATACCCAGAGCTCCAGGAAGCAGCAGCACGGCGTGCTTCCCTCTGCCGGTCTGCTCGTAGAAGAGATCCACTCCGTTGACATGCTGCCTCCCAGAGGATGCCGACGAGCTGAAACAGAAACAGCAGGCCCTGAACACCCTACCGGGAGCTGAAACTGCAGGGTGACTTCAGCCTAAAGGAGCGAGTTTAACTGAGACTGGGCAGACGGTTACCAGTGGGGTTTAATGTTCATTTAACGTGAAGTTTTAGGCTTTTTGGATGTAAAAAATAAAACAGCCAAAAGCATTTTAAAAATGTCAACTGTTCTCTGAAATGTTCTGGTGTTCATTTTCATGTATCCTATGAAGCTACAATGGGATTAAAGTCTATCTAAACCTGGTTTTTCCACTGATGCTTTAACACTGTGGGATTTTGGGGATGCTTTCCAGTAGATTTCCAGGATTTCAATTCTCATCTGTTTGCTGGCCGTTAGTCAGTGACCGGGCGTGTTGCGCCATCTAGTGGTCTGACATAAGCAGACCCTGCTGTTTAATAAAGAAGAAATCATTTCCTGCTGCTACACGACCGAGCCCCCTTCAACAGACACAGAGCATGCACTTCCTGGTTTGTTTTTTTCGGGTTCGTTTTCTAGCATTGCGCATTGAGTGTTACGGCGCAGACGGTTACCAGGCAGACATGGTCAGAGTCCCGGCTCTCTGCGCTGCCCCTCTGCAGCCCAGCAGACTTTTTCCGACGGAGAACCACGCCATTCCTCCCAGGCAGCTCCACATCTGCTGCAGCCGGAGTAAACTGCCCAAATAAAACCCGTCTGACCGAAGTCCAGGCGCTCCTGCACACTTGCGCTGTTTCCGGCCGGCTGGATCACTTTGGCACTTTCCACCACTTCATTACGCCATCAGATTTAAAGCGAAAGTACGCAGAGGAAACTCAAATTCACCGTTTTCCCACATTTCTTCCCTTTGAGATGTTCTTTTCCGTTTTTACTTCTCTTAAGTTCCTTTTTCTGGTTTATCATAGGAGATTAAAAAAAAAAAAAGTCATATTGAATCCAAAAAACAACTGAAAAATCAATAATTAACAATAGCCTATTCATGAATACACATTGTAGCTTTTTGTAAAATGGGGTATATATATGTATGTATTTTTGTCAAACCAGTCTAAAAAGTATAAAATGAGATGAGCTCCCCCTCATTTCTTCATATACTGTCACACACTGTTAAAATAGGACATATGGGCAACGATAACTCAGCTTCAAACAAAAATATAGAATAATCAGAGTTCATGAAAATCGTAAAGAGCTTCCAGATAAAATGTGTCTATAATATCCTGAACCTATTTTTTTAAGACTTCAGGATTAGTAGTAGTTGTCCATTTTCCTCCCTAAGTTCCTTAAAGACACACTGCACACCAGGCTGAAATATGCCACGTTTTCCGCTTATAGTTTTCTGGGAATCACTTGTTTTTGGAACAGATTAATTTATAAAGAGAACTTAGAGATTCAGTTAAAAGTATTCATTTCCAAATAGATTGCCTGTTAGGTGTAGACACAAGTGGCTTAAAAAACAAATTTCTCTAAAAAAGACTAAAATGAACAGGAATCCAGTAAACTGTCCAAAAACAAACCCACAGTTATATTTATTATCTTAAAAGAGTTAGATCTGAAATAGAAAATGTCTAAGTTGTTTATTTTGGTAATGTATGAAGCCACAATATCCCTAAAACGAATCCTTTTAAAATGACAATCACACTTACTCATTTAGCAGAAACTACTTAGCTAAGTCTTCCTGTTACATTAAAACTCAACACCCCCCCCCATTATTTCCCGTCATATTTCTGCTGTTGTTTTTCTACTAAATAGTAAAATAATAGATTCCTGGAGTCCAGTAAAACCTCTTGAATCTCTCTTTGTTGTTGATTTACTGAAGATTCACCTTCAGGATAAATGATCATAGAGACATGAGTAACGTTTTAAGACTATAAAATGAAAGTGAAATAAATAAATGAATCAGGAAATCAGACATGGAGGGGGGAAGCATGGTCGCACATCCTAAATGTGGCTACATGACTTGTGGTTCAAAGTACTAGGATCTTCTGCTTCTTCTAATTCAGTTCTCTTTTTACAGCTAAAAATAAGTTTTAGTTTTAAAGTGCTCTGGTTTGTCTTAAGCAGCTCAAGCCTTGTCCATGCAAAGTTATAATGGTTGTGTTCTTACATTCAGTGGCATTAAAATAGACAAACTTAAAGGGTATTAAAACTCATATCTTTCTTTTTTTTTACTAAATGAGAAAAGCAATTTCCTCATTTAGCAAAACTACCCCCCCCCCCCCCCCCCCCCCACACACAGGAACTCAGTGAGCATTGATTAAAGGCTTTTTGATGAACTAAAAAGAAAAAAAAGCTAGCTTCAAACGAGCGGTGTGTCTGTTTGTGAATGGCTGTGACTCGTGGGTCCTGATGAGCTGTTCGGCTCTGACAAAGGCAGGGAGCTTTTTGTAAACGCCTCCACTCTCCTCTGCCTGTCAATGCGTCTGAGCCGTGCCACACGCGGAACCACACACAGGAACATAACAGAAAGCCGGGCTAAAAATACCTCAATCGCCTCTAGGCGATGTGCTGCAGATGCCACCAGATTTACTGTAAATGCAGAGGTAGGTTCAAGTGGATGTCCACCGACAAACAAACAGCAACAATCCAACTTAAACGGGGAGAAGAGGATTTTATAGAAAAAACATCCAAACTCATGAAAATTCATGGAGTCTAAAAGAAATTCTAATTATATTGGAATAGAAATGAAATATCAGTCAAATAACAAAACGTTCAACCTTACAATTTTCCGTTTATATTAAATTGAGATCCATAATAAACTGGATTTACTGGATTCTCAGCCACAAAGCTCCAAACATTTGCTCCATAAAGCTTATAATGCGATTGACTGAAACTAATTCATAAGTTATCTCCCAAAAATGTATTTTAAAAAAGCCTAACAAGACTAACCAAGTGGTGGACCTCATACTTTAGGTCAGAGACAAGAGGTCAGAGGGCCTAGCTGCTGGTATCTTGAGCCCCATTGGGAAGGGCTCCTTGTACGGTCAGCCAGATGTCACCCACCCTCGGATCTGTTCTCCCCTTCTCCCTGGCTCTGCTCCATCTTTGTCTGGCTGGAATGTGTCTGTCCGCGGTCCCATGACCCATCCTGGTCTAAATATAGACACTCGAGCAGGGTGCTCCACCGCCAAAGGGACATTACGTAATCCCGAGCGGCATACCCGGAGAGAAGTGTCACTTGGGGCACGAGCTCCAGACGCGTGGAAGGCTGGATGATAGCTTGGTTCAAATCAGGCACTCACCGGGGATGTTTGAGAACGATGAGAAAGCAAGAGACTTGAGAGGGCAAATACTGCCAGAGCACTCCATCAAAGAGCTCAGGGAACTCTGAATCTGCTCTCTGAAACAAAGGATTTGCAAATTACCTCCTTAGAATTTCCTTAAACTCATTCTTTTCTTGGAGAAATGGGGAATGGCATCAACAAGGTACAGTATGATGCAACGTGGATTTGCATCTCTATTAAAAATATGTTTTTATTTTGAATATTGAATAATCCACACCTTCATTTCTGTTTCTTCTTCTTTGCATGTTTCTGTTAAATCTCCCAATTCTCCACAGATCCTGCCTGATCTCTACCTTGGCAACGTTAGAGGTACATTTTTTTTAATCACTTGTCATGTAAGTGAAGGATTTATTTATCTTCAGGATAATGTAGTAGAGGGTGTTTCAGTTCCTCATACGGAGGAGCGTGTGGTGAACTGCTACACTGAGCTCAGTTTCTATAGAGAGGAGAGGTCACCGTGTGGAGCCCAAAGATGCACTTAGATAAGAAAAAGGAGTGCAGCGTTGCTGATAATATCTGTGTGGAGTTGTGTGTCTGTGTGTGTGTGTGTGTGTGTGTGTGTGCCGTGTATCGCTTTCTGTCAGCAGCTGGGGGGAAACATTTTAGGTGGGTGTTGGGAGCCCGTGAGCGTTGGTGTGGGAGGGGATGCCCCACAGTGTGGGGGTGTCCCTCATGTGAACTCCATTCAACTTGTTTCCATAAAACTGCAAATGAAATCATTAGGTTGCTGTTTTTTTTTCCTTTTTCTTATTTTTTATCTTTGCACACTTACAACCGTAACCACAGAACATGTCATTAAAAACATGGAAAACTTTTTGTAAACAAGATAATGTTCCAGAGTCAGAGTCAAACAGGAAATGAGATGCTTTTCATGTGCACTGAGCCTGTAACCTCCTTCTACCTGACTTGGCACTTTAAAGACATCTAAAGATTTTTTTTTAAAGAATTGCTGGGAAGTGTTCAAACAGACATTTTAATAGACAAAAAAGGTTGTAATATTTGTAGCTTTTGGCTGATATTTTGTTAAAATTTGCAGTGTCTTCTCAAAAAAAGAAACAAAAGGTAATAGAATCAAACTTCGAATAATGCTTTTGAATAATGGCAATAGAACAATAACTATTGGCTTTAAAATCTCAAGTGTATGTTTCAGTTGGAATACAATCAATAGATTATAAGAAAATTAAACAAATTCATACATTAAATGTATCAATGTTTACTCAATGACCATCTCATAGAGGAAGAAGAATAATGTCCCTCTTGATTATTCAGATATTTGCAGACTATTTTCTACAGTGTCCAAAACCCAAATTAAGTAGAAAGTAGCTAAAGAAATACTGAAGCACTTTTCTTGCTGTGAAAAGATTTTTCCATGAGTCATGAATGAATCATTGGCTTACATTTCCAGTTTATAAGAAATGTAATCTTATCAATCCTCTTATTCCAGGATAGAAAATCAAATGACTGCTATCAATAAAATGTTAAGTTTAATATTCAATTAAAGAAATTAAGTCTTTGGTAAATGTAAATTAGTCATCAAGTAGTGGTAACTGTGGTGGTAAATTTGCAAGTTAGATAATTAAGTCTGAACCAAAAAAACAAACTACTTTTGAAATATGTTGCTCAGTTTCCATATTTTCCTGAAAACTAATCACAAAACAAACATTTGAACAGGTTTAACAGCTTTAGCTTCAGAGTCCCATGCTGTAAACCGCTTTATGCTATACTACTTAGTTTCTTAAAACCTCTACTTATACAAAGTGCAGTTTAAAAAGGCTATTTTCTTAAGGGAAACAAAAGGGAAATTGTATTCTTATATTGACTAAGTAAGTGTTGTGTCTGTATTTAGACTTTGAATGTCCTTGCCTGTCCTCGGCAGCGAGCCATCAGCTGGCTGTCAATCCACAAAAATATTTCTTTCATGAGACAGTCAGACGCTTTATGACCTTGTAGTCTCTGACATATAGTGATAGAGGATTATGTTTCCTCGACAAGTGTTTTTGATTCTTTATATCGTGAAGAAGGCCTGGTGAGCTGTACTGTCTGATTTTTCACTTTCAATACTTTCAATTCAGTCAACCTCAAGGCTACCGTTCAAATGATCTTTTTTAATATAATTACAAATCTTTTTTTATGCTTTTTTGACAGTAAATTGCCACATTAAGTGGATCTAGAGTAGCTTTCTTTAATATGTGTGGATAGCCTAAATCCTGAGCATCCTTTCCCAAAGCTATGCTGAAAATCTGGTCCAGGGATGAATCACATCTAGATGAGATGACTCAGTCAGCCCAAGGCATAAGGAAACTAAACACCTGCTTGGGGCCTAAAGAGCAATTTGAAAACCATTATTTCATCACGTTTTCCTTTCCTGTTTTGAAATATTGAGTGACTGTTCCTGCTCATTGTTGTAAAAACACTGTTTCATGCTGTTGTCAGCACACCGATTCCTTATTCTTGCTCGACAAATGAGTTTTGCTAATTGTTTTCGTATGTTTGTTTAAAAACAAAAATCATAAACCGTATAGCTGGTTAATTTACTTAATCCAAATTTTAATTAAAAGATGTAACGCTAACATCCAGAGTTACACTTATTAAAATGACAGATTAAAGAATGAAATGAGTTTATTGCAGACGTGTGAATGCTAAATGATCCGAATTACTGGCAGAAATAGAGGCCCCAGATATCGTTTGGATTCACTGTATACATGAATAAAGAAAATGAAGTTGTCATTTTTTTTAACTCTCATGGTGTGAAATGTGAGTTCATTTGCTTGGTAGGCCTGCTCAGTGCAGACTCCCCTTGGTGTTTTATTGGCAGCATGATCAGCATCCTGCAAACTTGCAAAGCATGAGAAAAAATGCTCAAAGCACATCTGTCCAGGGTAGAAAAACATTTGGCTTCCTTTTAAAGAACAAAATTTGATTAAAACAATTACTGTTTCTTGCTTTTGGGCCAAGCTGTTGCACTGTTTTAGAAACATTGGTTTTCCGGTTTTTCTTTCAGTTCAAAACAGGAGCAAAACTTTAGAGCCATAAAGCCAAATTTGTTTGGAAGACATTTAAGGAGGGGGGTGGGGTTGTTATTGGGTAGAAATGCTTTTTGTGTTTAGGTGAGTGGCATCATTTTAATTTCTTGATTTTCTTTGTTATTTGCGATCCGCAGATGCACAAGACCGGGATTTGCTGGCGAAGCACAACATCACCCACATCCTGTCCATCCACGACACAGCTGCACCCGTCCTGGAGGTGAGGCGGCTTTTTTGGGCCCAATACCGGCCTGCACAACCCCCTGACCTCAGCATTAATCCGGCCGTACAGTACACGATGTTCTCTGAACTCATCTGTGTCCCCACTGAGCAGCACTCATTATGAAAGTGTGAAACGCTGGCCTCAGCCCCAACGTGCCACAGTGTCGTCTCTGAGTTTAACATCTTTACACATCTGCTTCCACCCAGGATTTTGCACTTAAAAATCAGTTCTGAAACAGTCAATAAGTCATTTTCTGTAGATAAAGAAAATGGTTTTATTATTTAACCCTCTCAGATCTGATGCCTGTCCCATTCTTAATATTTTCAAAAAAGAGAAGCGCATGAAATATTGTTCACATAAAAGTCAATTCTCCATCAAAAGGTGCTGAAAATAGGCCACTTCAATTGGTGTGAAAGTCAGATGTTTTGGGTGTCAGTCATAAGACCCGGAATCCACCAGGTTTCACTAATTGCAGTTTTTCTAATTGACTGTGAGCCTTCAATATTGTGGAGGATCGCAGTGAACATGTGAAAATCTGCATGTCATTTTCAGTCGATGCAGCTGTTGCTGCAGATGCAAGCCTGTGTCACTGTGTCTTATATTTTTCACTTGAGATGTTTTTAGCTGTGCGGCTTGAAAGTGGAACTGCATTTACAAAAAAAAAAACAGGTTTCTAGCTTTTCAATGCTACATTTAGACATGGCCATTTGGGTAGAAAGGGTGGGAAAGGTATTTTTTCTCTAGTATAAGTTAACAAATGTGTGGTGCTAAAAGGCTATTCAAGAGCATAAAAGATTAGTTCCTTCTGTGATCTGACGTCAATTGATTGTCCTGTAAAATTGAACATTTAATGTAGCAACATTCTTTTAGTATTGCTAATTTTTCTGCTTATGGCTTGTAAATATTCATAGAATGAACCCTCTAATTTGTGAATTCTTTATAATCTCGTAAAAAATAAATAAAAAAAGGTTTTCTTCCTAAACTGTTCCTGCAGTCTGCCTGGTCGGACTTGTTTTTGAAAATCTTGAATCCGCCAGTGTCCGCTTTCACAACTTTCATCTTTTCTTGTTGAAAGCGATCTTGAAAAGTGCACAGAGATCTCTGTACACTTTCTCCGTCCATGTAAGAATGTTTCATTGAACAGCAAAGAGAAACAGCAACTTGTATTACAGTATCACTACCCAAACTGGTCAACCACCAAAACTTTTAAAAGGTTTTGGGCTTGAAATGTTGTCTGGGCCTGCACACAGATTCTGAACAGCCAGTTAGCCTTTTTTGGTAAATCTGAACCCTGATTGCGGGATTATTTTTGCTTACATTAAATGACGCTGCTTTTTCAGGTCTGTGGCTTGAGCATGACTCAGGCCTGGTTTAGACCAAGTGGCCAGCTGGGATGGTTGTATTTGCATACGTAACAGTCAAACTGCTGTCTGATTGATTTCTTGGAAGACAGCACGATGGTTCCTGAGAGAGGAAGGTAAAATTTGCAACCACCAAGTCTCTGAGGTCGAATTAGCTACTTAATGCACAGATTGTGGCTTTAATGAACATATTGCAAAATAATACAATACAATTTATTGTTTTATATTGAACAAAATTTGTTTCTTTTCCTTTAGAGAAAGAAAAAATATATTTCTCTTCTATTTGCATGCTTTATTTTCTATGTATTTACGATTTCTGTTGCTTTAAACTAATCAACAGCTGATGAGTCATAATTGATGGTGTGAAGATAAAGGGGGCTAACTCCTTCTGCTTAAATCTGCGGACATCTCACGGAGTGCTCAAACATGACAGTGAATAATGTTCATTTCTGGTTACGGGTTCGTGTGATGGGGCCTGTCTGGAGCACTTCCAGGGCTTGGTCTGTCCCAGAGGACTCAGGGGTTTTTGCACTGGTGCAGTCATACTAGGATGAGGTGGTTTCTGTCCACTGTGTGTAACTGTGCACCATCAGCTGCCAGGTGCACAGAACAGAGCTCAGAGCGCACACACACCAATAAGCCAACGCACGCGTGTGTTGCTTGGTTACATCGTGACCTGTCGCAGAAACAGGGTCAGCCCCATTTCAGTTGCAAACAAATGACCCATTAGTGAGGAGAACCATTCAATACTTGTGTTTTAAATGTTCTAATTGTCCCTTCCCCACGTGCAGGACATGACATACCTTTGCATATCTGCAGCTGACCACTCAAAGCAAAACCTGTGAGTACTCCAGATGTCCACAGCTGTTCATCTCTTGTACAGTTACCCTGTGATTTAGATCAAAAGTAATGAGACAGATAAAAGAAAATCATTTTCACAGTTAAAAGATAAAATGTCTGCTGATTTTTTCTATTTAAAGTCAAACTAGAAATATTTTCTCTACACAGATTTTTGTCAGATAGCTAAACTTGGGGTTTAATGTGATGCTAATTTCTTCAACCAGGATTCAGTTCTTCAGAGACAGCATCATGTTTATCCACGAGTCCCGTCTGAAAGGGGAGGGCTGCCTCGTCCACTGGTGAGTGCACGTTCTCACCCCCCCACTTCTCTGATTTCTAAAATGCTTAATGTTTGCCTGCATGCATTTTTACTGTTAAAGGTCCTGTGGAACGTTACAGATAATAACAGACAAATGGCGTCGTTCACATCCCCAAAGATTTAGACTGAGTTTTTTTACTCAGCGCAGCTGGGAGGCCGTCATATTTTATGAAGCCAGCTCTCATTTTCAACCACACCAAACAGGAGCCGTCTGCCAAGCTTTTTGGTTAAAACTTTCATTGCAATTTCATCACCTTTCATCTTTTCTTAAATCAAAGATGCAGCATCAGGCATTTAACCACAGCTCCAGGACAGGGGGTTTCACTTCTTTGAACGCTAAAGCGGAGAGTCTGTGGGGGTCTGTGTGCTCTCAGCGTGGCAGGAGTGTCCCGCAGCGTGACGCTGGTGGTGGCCTACATCATGACGGTGACGGGCCGCGGGTGGGTGCAGTCTCTGGCCGCCGTCAGGTCCGCCAGGCCCTGCGCGGGGCCCAATCTGGGCTTCCTGCGGCAGCTGGAGGAGTTTGAAAACACAGAGCTGGCAGAGGTGAGTCGTTATGGCGACCTACCCATCCATCCCTTCTCTGGGAACCGGCTGAAGCCTGTCCCAGCAGTCACTGGCCGAGAGGCGGGGTGCACTCACCGCGCAGTCCGGTTCGGAATCACCGGTCCACTGAACAGCCATGTTTTCGGATGCTAAACCTAACCTCAACCCTAAAAATAACTTCATTAATCTGATCAATGCCTCAATGTGCAGTCTCACCAGCTTTGTAAAGACATCCCCTCACTCTATGTGATGCATCAAACCCTGAGAACAGGAAAAGTGTTCACAAGCAAATCAGACAGCATTCTGTCAATTAACAGATCTGCCGCATTTTAAGAGTCATAAAGTACATTGTTCTCAGCTAAACATGTTAAATAAAAGCATGGGACAGCCTGCTAAATTGTCAGCTTTAAAGTTTGGATTTGGGCATAAAAAACAAAGGCCCTCCGAAAGTAAGAGCAGGAGTTTGGATCCGAACCCAAGTGCTGTGCACACACTGAAATGCAGATGTAAGACTGTGCCAAACTTAAGTTAACTGTTTCTAAGGAAGACTTACATCATCTCTGGTATCACCCTCTTCTCTGTAAACCTGTCAGATTTCCACAAAGTTATTTATTCATTGTTTATTAAACCTTTCTAATGTTTATTTTGGGGGCAGTGAGTGACAAATTTATTTTTTTCTCATGTAAGTGCTGACTGGAGTGGCAATAAAAACCCCTTAAACCTTTTCAAAGACACTTATTTCATTACATTTTTAACAAAATCTTGTTTCTGCTTTTAGATTGTCAGAAAACTATGAGTTGTATCATTTTTTGGTTGGAAAAAGTTTCTATCAGGCTTTGAAGATCTGATGGGGATTTTTTTACGTTTTTTTTCTACTCTTCCACAGTAATGATCTTTTTTGCCCTTTTCAGTATCGAGCCTGGTGGAAGGAGAGATACGGGAAAGACTCGTTGAACGACGAGGAGGAGATTCAGAACCTTCTAACCGGGAAATCTGCCGGCAGCGTCCCTCCTGCGCTGGCCACCAGCGGCACCTGAGGAGCCGCCGGTGGCCCGCCACTGCACGGACATCACAGAAAAATCCAACACAATCACATGTCGGGTTTGAACTGTATCGATATGAAAGGCTGAATCTCCCCTTTGCAGGCCCTGGGGGGGGGATTTTATATCACTGTCGTCAGTTCTCTTCATCAAGTCCTCGTCTCTAACTGTCAAAACAGCAGGCATGGGTAGCCAAGCAGAACACCAAGGAAATAAGTACATGCAGTCCTCAGTGTGAGCACACATTTAGCTGTGCACACCCCCCATCAGTTACAGTATGCTGTGTCTCCTACTTGAAATATGACTATTACTCTCTACAGTCAGTGTAGAGTCTGCTGAACTGTGTATTTCTTATCAACACAACATAAGAATTAGTGTTTTTCTTTGACTTGATTGCACTTTTATTCCTAAATATAAGTTCCTCCTTTGATTTTGAGTGTTTGCAATGTTACATATTTAGTTTTCATCTTTGTAAACCATTAGGACCCTTATGTGTTGATGGGAACTTGTGTTATGTTTGATTAAATTGTAATTATTGCAAAATGTAAGTCATCAAGGGAATTATTCTAGAGGAGTGGTTTCCAGTTGGACAGAAAAGGACCCCTGGAAAGGGTTACAGTTCATTTCCAAGAGTGTTAGTAGCTCTGACAATAGAACAAATACAAATTGCTGTTAAATTGCATGCTTGCAGTGGACTTTCAAGACATTTAAAGAACAAAATACAGACTTCAGTTGAGCTGATAAACTGTGCTAGAAGACAGATTGATCTCTCAGACCATACCACTGCAAATACAAAGCATTCGATTAAGAAAAAGATCATCAGTAAAATGGAATTTAGACACACAAATAGGTATTTAAGGTTTGAATATGACTTCTTTAAGTGGGAACTGGTGTTGGAGTGCTCCTAGAAGTGCTTTTTTTATAAGTCTGCCTTATTTTATGAATACACAGTTAGGTAATAAAGCCAACTGGTCTTAAATACTTGTTTAAGTCATTTTAAAAGTGAAGCCTGACAAGAGCTGAAATGACTCAGTGTTAGAATGAAACCATAACACAACAGCTCTGCCTGCAGGCACCCATAAGAAGTGACTTTTTCCCTGATATTCTTCTT